TATACGGTATAATACATATTATGATGGAGAATGCCTTAACCATCTGAGATTCGCTAATGACATAGTCCTAATTGCCAATAGTCCTGAAGAACTACAATCACAATTTAATGAACTAAATACAGCCAGCAATAAAGTGGATCTCAAAATGAATTTAGCAAAAATTAAAATAATGTACAACGAACTAGTGGAAAGAAAAGACGTTCTAATAAATAACACAACACTGGTAATAGTAGAATAATATACAGGGTGTCCTAGGCTGAGCTTGTATTCGAATTTTCTAGAGAACTATAACATCGAGCTCGGAGATTTTTTGCACATCATAGTTTTACAACGAGATCTATCGATTAAAAATACTTTCAATATGGCGGAACTTTCGGAAATACCGGAAGTTGACAACAACTTTCTTATTTTAAATGTGTGCCCCCATTTTTTACTACATACTTAAATTCTCTGTAAAATTTTATGAATTTTGATATTAAATACTCTATATCTAATATTGACCGTTTTTGAGAAAAAAAAATTCAACGAAAAAAACTGCCTGTCAAAAATATGATATGGGTATAGGCTAAACGTCAAATTTAGTGATTACCACCAGGGGGGTGACAGTGAAATAGGAAAATTGGAAACAGTCATTAGTGTCAATCCTGTCATCTCCTGACGACAAGTATGGCCGCCTAGATAAGGACAGCAATGTTTCTGTCTAACTATTGTCTAACTTCACAGTTTAGAATTGACAGATTTCAGAGACAACTTCAGATTTGTTCTAGAACAAATTTCGACGCCATTTTAATTCTCTCCGGTTAGTTTTGTTTTGTAAATTCAATTTGATATTTCGGCAGAAATTTATAAATATAAAGGTAGTAAAGCATATAAAATATATTATTACATGAACAATCCTGGAGAAAAAGACGTTTCTGCAGTACTAGGTATGTCCCATGTATATTAAAAATAGGTAGTGAATAAACACTATTTCTGTATTTTTTAGATGCAAGAAAATTTTGTTATGTTTATGATCGGCGATTTTTTTGAAAATGGAAACAATTTACAGCAAGGTAAGATCATTTTTTAACTATAGCCAACATTAGTTATCTCCAGTATGTGCGATTTATTGTCAATAATGCAGTAAATCTGACTGATACAATCTGATTGTTATCCGACTAAAAGTCTCTTTTGCTTCTTTTGATTTACAAACCAGGTCTCTTTGGGAATAATGGACGCTTTTTTTAAACAGTATATTTATATTTTATACCTTGATATTTTTACATTGTTAATTTTAGTATAAAAAAAATTGTTTTTCTGTTTTCAGATTTTTGTATAAGGCTCCCGTTTTCATGTCTGCCCCCGTTTTCTATCCTTGATGGCTGTGAATACGCGTATTTATTTACAAATTACTGTAAGTCATGCTTATACCTTACTATTTTACTATTTTACCATTCAATTCTTTATTTTTTATATTTATTTAGTCCCGTTGTCTCATATTTCAAATAAATATGTTTGAATAAAATTTTGTTTTGTTTTATTTATGATAAGAAAGAATACAAAATACATTTAAACTGAAAGAGGGCCCGCCATTGAATAACCGGAAACGGAAATAAAAATGAAGCCATCATGTCAACCTGTCAATTGGAAAATTAGTTCTCCAGACGACAACGAAGGCTTTCGGTGGCGTATCGTGTTTCCACGATTTAACACAGAGTTGACACTTCTTTCTAGTTAATTATTTTATGATTACCACAGCCACTGTACTATAAAGAGAATACATTTGGCTATCTATTTCAAAAATTATGTTGTTCGAATGTCATATAATCATGGCCACAGCTGTCATAGAATTGAGCGATTAAAAAATTAGGCTGTACTTAAACTGCCGTTAAACGGTACCTTACTAAAATACCGTTAATAGGTATGACATCGTTGATGTGACGCACTTGACGGCTTTATGAAATATAGGAATTTTATAAGGACTAACCAACGCTATCCACCTCACCAAATAACCAACTTAACCAACGCAACTAACCTCGACACTGATAAAAAATATATAAAACAAATATAAATTAGTAAAAATCAACCAACCCCACCAAATAACCAACTAACCAATGAATTAACACCCTCCAAATAACCAACGCAACTAACCTCGACACTGATAAAAAATATATAAAACAAATATAAATTAGTAAAAATCAACCAACCCCACCAAATAACCAACTAACCAATGAATTAACACCCTCCAAATAACCACGCTAACCAACCCGCCAAATAACTAAACCAATCCAACTAAAAAGAGTGAAACCAATGCAATAAAATCACGCTATAAGCAAAAAAAATATAAAAAGTCTTGGTCGGCGTGAGATTTGAACCACGGACCATTCGCTTACGAAGCGATAGCCTCTGCCACTGAACAGGTGCTTTTGCAGAATGCTTAAGACCAGGCATTACTTTCCGCCGACATGAACGACGTCACAATATCTACTAACGGCATTTTAGTAGGCTACCGTTTAACGGCTGTTTAAGTACATCGAAAAAATTATTATAAATCATTTTTTTAAATGGAAACCCACTTTTTTTATTACACTAGTAAAAAGGTTTTTTAATTCGTTACTTTTTGATTATACATGCTCCTATACCTAAAATAAATGTTTTTTTAAGTTACTTAAGATTTAGTTTTAAAGGGTATATTTTTTTGTTTTTTTTAACCAGTAGCCTAAGCTTTTAAACATCACGCGATGTAAAACTATATCTGGCCATGTCATATTGCCACTAGTTATCACTAAAATACGAGATATATTTTTATAAATACACTTTATAAAGTTTCACCAGCAGTATTTATAATACTATACGAAATTCAAATAATTAGTTTTTTGACAGAAGGAAATAAATTGTCTGATGATTTGACACTTAATGTCATATTGGAAAGCCCATAAAAATTTTGGGTCGCGAGATTATTTTGGGTCGCGACCATTATACGCGATCTGGCGCTGCTATAGCGGTCGCTAAGAACAACGGCAAACAAAAACAGAAATAATTTTCTCTTGTCAAAGTCAGAATCTTTAAAAATCATAATAATCTTTCAAAATCTAAACCGCTCTCATTAAAGAAATTTCGAAAAGTGTTTATAGCGTCCATTTTCAAAGTTTTTATTGCTATCTTGTGAGTTTAATTCAAGTTTTATTTACTCCAACCGGTGATAATTTTGAAAAAGTGGCATTAAAAACATAAATAGCTGTGCTGTGAACTGTGAACTGCAAAAACCATCGTGGATCGTGGCATAACGTCGGTTTCCAATGTTTCATAGGTATTTCATACATGCGTCCTTATATAAAATAAAATTTATTGTATGCAACACACTGTATTTTATTTATAAAATTAAAAGAAAATAATAATAAATTTGAATAAACAATATTTGGCGATATAATTCCGGAAAAAGCCGAACCGCTCCGAAATTTTCAAAAGTTTTGGGTCGCGACCGTTGCAAGAATAGCGCCAAATAGTGTTTACATTGTCCTTATGGGCACTTTCCAATCTAAACTTGTTTCATTTATCTATGCTTAATGTCTAGCTAAAATCAAGAAAAAATTACGCTATAAAACTAAATCTTAAATAACTTAAAAACCATTTATTTTAGGTATAGCAATATGTATAATCAAAAAGTAAAGAATTAAAAAACCTTTTCATTAGTGAAATAAAAAAAGTGGGTTTCCATTTAAAAAAAAATGATTTATGATAATTTTTTAATCGTTCAATTCTATGGCAGCTACGGCCAATACTATATGACATTCGAACATTTTAATTTTTGAAATAGATAGCCACATGTCTTCTCTTTATGTCCCAGTGGCTGTGGTAATCGCTAAATTTGACGTTTAGGTTATACAATTTTTTTTGACAGGCAGTTTTTTTTCTCCAAAAATATTAATTTTTTTTCTCAAAAAAAAACGGTTAAAGTTAGGTATAGAGTGTTTGAGATCAACATTCGCAAACTTTTACAGAGAATATATATAGTATATAATAAAAAATGGGGGGTACCAATTTAAAATAAGAAAGTTGCTGTCAATTTCCGGTCTTTCTAAAATATTTTTAATCGATAGATCTCTTTAGGAAACAGTAATGTGCAAAAAATCTCCGATCTAGATATTATGGTTCTCCAAAAACTTCTAATGCACGCTCAGCCTGGGACACCCTGTATATATTTGGCACAACTAATACACAGTTCGGGATCTCTAATTCCATAAATCAACAGAAGAATTAAGTTAGAATGGAGTACTTATGGAAGAAATTCGATCATATTCAAATCTAGAACACCACTCTATCTAAAAAAGAAAACATTCGATCAATGTGTACTACCAGTCATGACCTATGCATGCAAAACCTAGACATTTAAAACGGACATCATAAGGAAACTGGATGTCGCACAACTCTCAATGGAACGAAATATGCAGAGAATAACCAAGAGAGACAGTAATAGAAGAGTGGACACAACAAAAGACCCAAGTAACAGATGCCATCCACATAGTAAAATCCTTCAAATGGCAATGGGCAGGACACCTGGCAAGAAGAACGGACAACAGATGGACCAAAAAAATTATAACATGGTACTCACGAGACAGAAACAGACCTAGAAGTTCTTACCAGACCTAGAAGAAGACCGAACCTGAGATGGGACCACGATATTAGCAGGAATAACTTGGGCCCGCATAGCCAACAATAGACAACAATAGGCCCATCTACAAAGGGAGGCTGTGAGGGAGACTACACCATAAAAGGAAATGGTTGAATAAGCTGAAAATGATGATTATGATGACATATTATGTAGGCATAAAATTATTTCATATGCGGTATTTAGAAAAATCACAGAGGAAAATTACTCTCTCTGTAGTCCTTTTACTTATCAATGACACTTGAATTTTTGAAATGTTCTAATTTCAATTTGTTGCGGTTTCTAAACCAGGAAAGAATTGAACTGCACTATAAAAAATGTAAATAATAATTATAAATCCATTGCAACTCACCTGTTTACGGCAATTAATTCACGAACTGAAATTGTCAATGGAAAAGTAACTGAAATTTTTCTCGAATAAAAATCGTTGTTGCACTGTCGAACACAATATCATACGTTTGTTTTATACAATATTTCGGAACCTTGTAAAAACCATAACATGTTCGCTATGTGGCTCACGTGACCACCTGTATATTAATTTTGATTCTTATTCATACTTCCTGCTTTTCCGGTAAAATTAAAGACCATTTTAGAGGTTAAGGAATAACATTGGCCACATTTGCAATAAACAGTTCATATTTTAACATAAAATGTAGGCCGCTAGTTAACCGCCAAGAAAAGCATAAAATAAATATAATATTAACACAGATTTATTTATTATATATTCCTTTAATACTCATATTTCTTTTAGTAATACGGTTTAGCAGGCAGCAGTTCAACAAACGAAAAAAAGTCTATTTTAGTGTATCGTCTATTAGGCCGGAAAGAATTTTATATTTATAACAAGAAAATCTAATCGTTGATTGAGGGAATACCAACGATTTAGTTGAGCAACCCGGTTGCCGACGTCCACTGATTGGGCGATCCTCGTACAACCTCTATAAATTACTGGCAATCGCAACCCGATTCACCTTCCGCACTGTAAATCAAAAGATTGCTTGGCAACCACAATATCGCTTTCAATTTGATGACGCACTAACCTGGAGATCTTCCGACAATTTGATCGAAAGCAACTAGATCGCCCAATCGGATTGCTCGTTTAACGCCTATAGTGAATGGCAGCTTTAATGAAAAACATAAAATGTGAAAAAAACGTCAAATATCACAATACAATTCTAAAGGTACGTCCATAGTGCACCGTCTTTCCGGTGGCCGACTTATTTCCCGACAGGTCTTATTGCTTTGTTGTTTGCTTGCTTATACGCCATTGAAGCAGGTATTGACCATTACAACCGCTTGTAGGCAGCGGGAATGTCATTTGGCATCGTGAAGCTATCCCATGGGGATCTCTTCTTTATCTTAAATCGATCACTTGTTTAATAATTTTATAAGTAAATAGCTTGCATTGTGCTAAAGCATAATTTTATTGGTTGCCAGTTTGGAAATGAGCTGAGCAAGGTAGACTGAGTTTGGGGGAGGGAGGGAGTTGAGAATTGTTTTCAAAAGGGGGTATCGATGATAGAACTGTTGAACTGGTGAAACGGGCAAGCGACAAAAAGAAAAAATAATTCATTCCGGTAGAAGCAATTTAATTCGGTTGTAGTCCTAGCTGACTGGCGCCTTATGGACACTAGGGTTCAGAACCGGGAAATCCCGGTACCGAAAGTACCGGGTATTCCCGGTTCTTTTGAAACATCAAAGAACCGGGACTCGAAATTATTAATTCCCGATTCTTTCGGTACTTTCGGGACTCGTTAATAATAATTAAAAACATATTTTTGTTACGTACGAAAAACTTTTGATACTTTCTAGCGGTCAAAATCAAACTCTTCTAAATAAGTAGGTAGTGATGATATCTCTTAATGTTCTTACTTTTGAAGTTTCTATAATGTTTATTAGCAATTATTGAAGTTTAAATATATTATTTTATTATTTAGTGTAATATTGCTGAATGTATTAGTTATATTTTTTTCGAATTTAGTTAAGTTGGTTTGGAGGTTTATCGATGTTGTTTCACCTATGTGTTCTTTTTGTTTCGCTTATGTTCATTATTCATATGTTTACTTTCTCATGACTTAATAATTTGATATTATTTTCATTTGAAACTCAATTTTTTATCGGTTTTACTTTTGAAAACCATCCCTTGCTTGTTAATTGACGAACTCTCAATCGTTGAACGAAAATATTTTAGTACGGTTCTAAAAACTCTAATTAATACTACCAATTAGAGTTCAGATCTTTTTGGCCATCACAGAACAGGGCCTCGGTAAATTAAAAAAAATATTTTTTTGTTAAGTGAGAAAGTCCTTTGATACTTTTTAGCGGTCGAAATCAAACTCTTCTAAATAAGTAATGATGCTATTTCTTATTGTTCTTGCTATTTGCTCTTTTGAAGTTCCTATAATATTTACTATGTTATGCTTTAATAGATATTTGCATTTTTAATTCAATATTTTAACGCTTTCGTCTCAAATTCAGTCAAGTTGGTTTATGTTGTTTGATGTGAAATTTAAGTTACCTATACTTTTTCCTTTACTTGTGTTCATGTTAATTTTTTCATGACTGATTACTTAATAATTTTATATTATTTTCATTAAAAATCACAATTTTTAACCATTTTACTTTGAAAAACCATCCCTTACTTTCTAATTGATGAACTGCACTACCATTAAACAAAAATTAATCAGTACCGAAAGTATCAAAAAAACCCGGGAAATCCCGGTTCCTAAGAAGCGCGGTACCGAAATTCCCGGTTCCGAAAAACAGCTCCGGTTCCGAAAAACAGCTCCGGTTCCGGAAACCCTAATGGCCACGCGCATAAAATAGTTGTTCCTATTTTTCACCGCTAGTCTGCCGCGATAAAGCGAGAAGCCGATGCACTATAGACGTACCTTTACTGTACGTCCATAGTACGCCGGTGTAAATAGTGGTGTTAAATTTTATAAATGTTGCATGTAGTTTATAAAGATACTTACCCCAAAAAATGTAATGATAATATTGATAATACCTATCAAAAAAAGCGTCAAAGATGGCTAGAGAATGACAATCGATGACAATTTTGGCGATGTCATGCCCTCTAAATATCATTTACTTGACCCTTACTCTACTTTATTCCTTAATGGCACTTAGGTACTGCCAGTTGGCCTTCAGAAGGTTGTAAATTATTTTTATATTGAGTAAAAATGAATTTTAAATGGTGTGATTTAAAATTCGAGAAATGTTTAATCTTTCTGTAATTCGTATTAATAATTGTTGACGAGTTTTGTGTCAATTTTTAGTAAATGACGGCTAGAGATTGACCACGCCAAAATTCTCATCGATTGTCATTTACTAGCCGTCTTTGACGCCGTTTTTTTTGATATTGTTATTTGTTTGATCTTTTTAACAATAAAGCACTATTCTTAATATGGTCCAGATCTGTAGCTCTAAATTGTAGTGCGGTGAATAAAATATCCTTAACTGATTATTACGTTATTGCATATTTTATATTCTTCCATTCACTTAGATATTTTTATTCAATAGATTATAAGATAAATTATAAATGGTACACTCATTTCTATTACATAGTTTTTACTTTAGTGTAAAATAAATTTATGAAACATAGTTAAAAGTTTTTTATTATTAATAATATACTTTAATATAATATAATATATAATACAAATAAGTTTAAATAAAAATTAAATATTATCAACACAAAAAGTATAAGCTTATAGGCAGGGCAAATGCTTTAGAAATAAGAATAAATACGAACAAATATATAAATCACCTAAATATTATTTAAAAAAGATGTTTATAAATATTTTTCTACTTTAAAAAAATATCAATGATAAACATAAATATAAATAAGTTTCAATAAATAATTAATAATTATATACTAACGACTATTTAAATAAAAAAAACTACAAATACAAACATACAAAAATTACTAAATATCACATTTACATAACAACATAATTAATAAAGAAATTACAAGAAAATGCTGTAATCTATCACAACAATTTTTTTTCATGAAATACTACACTTAAAATCATTATGTATTTTACTACCTACCATCACAGCTTCCAGTAATGTCAATAAATTACCATTTATTACTCCCAACACTTTCTTCGGATTTAGTTTACTTTCTGTAGGTAATTCCATTAATAATAGCTTGCTGGCACCCATTTTTATAGACGATCGTAGTTTGAAACCTTCAATACCTAAAATTTTAAACGCATATATTAATATTTATCTCATTTTTATGTTAATCGTTTCTAATAATATCTCAGTCGATATACACATATATTGAGCGACACATAAATATATACATCCTTATTACTCGGTCAAGAACATTTTTCTGTTTTACGATTTATTTAACGCTTAAGTCCCGGTTACAGTTAATGTTGATCGCATTAAAATAATATTGAAATCGTGGCTTTTGAGTGGCACTAATATTATTTTTATTTAAGTATTTTAGTTTTTTGCTAGTGTAGTTACTAAAACTATAAAACACTCAGGTACTAGGTTTGTGTGATGTAACGCGCTGTTTCTGGTAGTACAAATTAAGTGAAAAGGACTCGAACTGGGCGTCGCGTTGTGTTCTGACAAAATTCAGAGTTATTTTAATAAAAAATGTTAAGTTAAGTGAAGAAAATAAATGACAATCGGAATTGTATTGTGGATTGTCATTGTCAAATACTTGTGACAACCATGGTGACAACACAAGCGATTCCTACAAAGGATTTGTATTATCATCGGATAATACGAATAGGTATTCGTATATACAGGGTGTTTCAAAACAAATACGAAAAACTTCAGGGGTTGATTCCTTGTTCAAAATAAAGGCTAGTTTGCTTTATAAACATTGGGTCAAAAGTCAACCATTAGGGAGATATTGTAGTACAAAGATGGCGGAAAAATAATGTTTTTATTTTTTATCTTGAAAACGAAAAGCGATAGACTAATGAAATTTTATGGAAGCATTACTGTTATGAAAACACACTTTCTGGTAATTTTTTCACTTTTTTAAAATAAGTGGAAGGGGTTGAAATAAACTACCCCTATCACTCTTGTTAACGAAATTTAAAGAAAAATCTTATCAAACACACACAAAATTAATTTGGATAGTTTAGTTTATTTAGGAACTTTTTTATCTCTTGTGTTTTTTTGATAAAACTCACCGATTTGAAATTAAAAAATAAAATGTAAAGCATTACATGTCAGGACAAAAAACATTTTTAAATAAAGAATCAAGTGAGCTGCTGTACTTTTTTTAGGAAAAAATCTAGTTGGCCGCTGTCACTTTTCAGGATGTTTCTAATATTATTTTATCTGACTTTACTCTACTGCAATACGTTATTATCTTACGATCAATTAATTATTCCGAAGCCTTTTTTCTTTATGTGAAAATGTTTTTTTGTCCTGACAGGCAATGCTTTACATTTTATTTTTTAATTTCAAATCGGTGAGTTTTATCAAAAAAACAGAAGAGATTAAAAAGTTTCTAAACAAACTAAACTATCGAAATTAATTTTTTTGCATGTGTTTCATAAGATTTTTCTTTAAATTTCGTTAATAAGAATGATAGGGGTAGTTTATTTCAACCCCTTTCACTCATTTTAAAAAAATGAAAAAATTACCGGAATGTATGTTTTCATAACAGTAATGCTTCCATAAAATGTCATTAGTCTATCTCTTTTAGTTTTCAAGATAAAAAATAAAAACATTATTTTTCCGCCATCTTTGTACCGCGATAGCTCCCTAATGGTTGACTTTTAACCCAACGTTTATAAAGCAAACTTCCCTTTATTTTTAGCGAGGAACCACCCCCTGAAGTTTTTCGCATTTGTTTTGAAACACCCTGTATAATGGACCTATAACGGAGGCATATATATGCATATATCCTATAACGGAGGCATAAAAATGCAGTAAATTTACGAACATAAAGAAAGCTGGTTTTAAGCGCTTATTACCAGCACCGTAAGTAAATGGGCGCGTTCAGGGACGATCAGCGGCTGAGTGGCTGAGTAAGCGATTTCCCTAAACGGTCTATTCTGACGAACAGCAACAGTGAGCCGCTGTGCAAAATTCTCAGCGGTAAATATTTAGGCTGAGATAAGTCAGCCTTAATCTATTTCCTTATCAGTGGTCAACTAATGTAAAATAACTAAAAATAACTTTAATTTTCTCATTTTATTGTTTACTTTTTATGGTTTGTTGAAGTTTGTAGTCAATCCTAGTTAATCGAATCTTTAAAAAATAGGAGATATTTGCTGCCAAAAAAGTTACAAAGCAGTAGGTTAATCTAAAACGTTCGAAAAGACTTGTAAATAGAGATCGAAGAAGTTAAAGAAAATAAGAAAATTCAACTTGATTTCTATCTCATGTAGAATTTTCTAAATACATTGAAATTAAGAAAAAATACTACTTTCTGAAAAAATCTAAATCGGCATAAATAACTTTTGATTGTAATTATAATACCGTCTGATCGAAAAAATATTGCGCCTAGTTGGCTTATAAATAACAATCGATAATATTCCCTATATACATAAGTTTACTTATAAAGTAACAGCAATCTTCACCTCCAGATCACCCCTGACGTCGTTTTTTTTATTGTAGGGTATTTACACCTTCAGTAATTTTATTTATACCATACCATCGAAAAAAATGCGTAAAAGGTGACTTGGTCGAACTGCCCAGTAGTTCCTGTTATTTTAAGTTGTTTTGTTTAGGTGTATTATAGATAAAATTATTTTTTTAAACTTATTTTTTACGAAGACGATTTATTTATATTTCTCTCAAATTTTTATAGTAGACAGAGAGCGCATGAGACAGCTACTGTTTCTTGTTCTTTCTGCTGCTTTGTGCCGTTTAAGGAATATCGTAAGCTGCTGGTCAGCGAAATTCTACGCTGAATGTCAGCGGCTGTGTTCCCTGAACGCGCCCATAGCTTCTAAGTCCCAATAGTCAAGTCGCATACCCAACAATGTTGCCGTTTGCTGTCGCCTTATTTTATGAACGGTTCTATAGCCAATTTTGCAAGAGCAGCTGTAGATCTAAATATCCATTGGTGAGGCCGAATTCGCTTCGGGAACGAGAGGTCCCAGGTTCGTGTCCCACAAATATACAGGGTTATTCACCAAATACGACACGGAGTATTGTAGCTAAACGATTAGATTTTTACAAATTGTAAGTTTTGGGTTCGTTGAAGGACTATTAGAGCTACAATTTACAAATAATTTTACAAAATACAGAATGTCCCAAATAAGTAAAAAATATTATAGTTGTATTTTTTTTTAAATGGAACACCCTGTATATTGTTCTATTTTTAGATTCTACGATTGAAATAAAGATAAAAATTTGATTAAGGTTTATCACACTTAAACCGTACCGTTTTTGAAATATTTTGCAATTTTGTGAAATTGCAGTAAAAAATTTAAGGCTTCATTTCTCCAATGTTATCGAAGTTTTTAATATCGAAGTTGCAATAATAAAAATTATACTACCTTATACTGAGTGTCCAAAAATTTATATTAAATAATTACTAGCAATAAACGACAATAACTTGTTTAATTTAAATAGTAAATTATTACCGGAAAAACCTGTAAATTTTACCGGAAAAATTTTACTCTGTAAATCTTACCGGCATCAGATGCACAATTTGATTGTCTATGAAAGTGTATTACCATTTTTTACCTATCTCTTGAAGTTTTCGTAGAAAATGCATTTTCTGATAATTTAGACCTCAGTTATCACTCTCTAGTTCTAGTTTATTATTGCATTTTATTTATACCCATGGAATATTGACATTTTAGATTTTTTTAAAGCAACATATGAACAAAATGTACAGGTGGTAAAAATGATATTATTGTAAGCCTAGTTGTTTAAAGAAAGAAAACTATTTAAATCTTTGTAAAAGAGGATACCAATTATTTCTAATTTCTCATATACCACCATTATTTCGGCACTAAAATTAGTTAGTTACATACTTAATTGTTTTAATTAATAAATTAACAGCAGTCATATTAAATTCATAAAATTTCATAAAATAAAATAAAAAAAATTCATAAAATAAAATAAAAAATTTGCATTTGATTAAGAAATCAAAACAATAATAAGTTATGAAAAGAAACGTCTCTGTTGTTATAAATAAACATTCGTCAAGAAATTAAATAACATTTATAAGGTGTTACTTTTTACCACACTGTCTAATATACACACAAAATTCTTTTTAGTATTTGGAGCAATTATTATTAATCAACGTAAAGTTTGAATAATGGGATCATATTAATTGGTCCTCTTTAACAAAAAAATATTTCAACAATTTTTTTATCTTTTAATGAAATAAGCGAAATATATCGACAATATTAGTATCTGTACTCTTTCAAAATTTCTTACATCTTGAAACATGATCTAAAATGTCAATATTTCATGGGTATAGTAATAAATGAAATCTAAATTATAAGAAAATGCATTTTCTACGAAAACTTGAAGAGATAGGTAAAAAAATGGTATAATACAATTTGACAGACAATTAAATTGTGCATCTGATTCTCGTAAAATATACATTTGATTCAACGATCTTCTCCATGCTACCGAGAACCATTCGCTCATATAGTTTGTAGAGATGGCACAGCATGCAGCAGCGAGATCGGTCTATAGCTACTGGCTAGTTCTGGATATTTGGCCGGTTTCAGGAGAGCCACGATTTTTGATTTGCGCCAAAATTTCGGGATTTTGTGGCTTTCGGTGCATTCTTGAAACCATTTTAAATATATTCCATTCAATTTTCTTGACCATTGAAAATGACCACGTTTTTGTTGCTGGGTCGAAGTTTTTAATCTGCTCGGTACAGAGATCATCTACGCCTGCTGCCTTCCAATTCTTCATACTGTTTAAGGCATTGTTGAGTTCTTTTAAACTGGATGGATGCTCCAGGATGTTAATCTCGTTTGCTCGATCTCTCTCTAATTTTGATATTCTAATTCTTTTTTCGGGTTTTCCATTCTTCAGTAGCTGGTGGGCAATCTGGTCAGGTTTGATGTTACTGATTTGTTTCCTTTCAATTGGGTCGCCATCAAGTTTCTTTAGGAAATTCCATGCGATCTTACTACTGTGGGTCATATCAATTTGCTCTAGTTTCTCAACTTCAGTAAATATTTAGTATTAAAAACTTCGATACCCCTGGAGAAATGAAGCCTTTAAATTTGTACTGCAATTTTATAAAATTGAAAATATTTAAAAAAAGGTAAGGTTTAAGTGTGATAAACCTTAATCAAATTTTCCTTTATTTAAATCATAGAATCCTTTGAATAAGAAGACTAAGGAAGGAGCATAATGCTATCCATGTATTCATGCATGATGGGCGGAAAAAGCGCCATAAAAGCACTCTAGGGTAGGGATCCTTGACAGTTCTGTTTTACGATGCATTTGACACATTTGAATTTGATTTGAAATTTTATGGATTTGTCAGTCTTTACGGAGCTTATTTTATGTTATTTATTATTTATTCTACTACTGATAGTTGTATAAAGGTAGTAAATCTAGGTGGAAATTGTGGCAGAACTTAAATTAACAGTGACACTATCGCGATTTATCGAAGAAGACTCTAAAATAGTTGGTTGTCTAGCGTGCGGTAGGTCTCGGCAAAAATTGAGTGAAATAATGGAACAACTTTTCGCTAGTAAGTGACTATATAATATACATACGTGTAGTAAACCGATCATTTATGAAATTCACTTAAATTAACTAAATTATATATTTTTCTTGCATTTTAGCTTTTACTTATTACTTGTCAAAGATTAGATGTCAAAGAATTTAGATACGTTAATTTGACTTACTTGCTTCAGTAGCGTATCATGTGTTTGTGGTAATAAATACTTATTATAACTTATCTATTTTTATTAGAATTATATATTTTTATAACAATTTTAATAACTACCAACATTTATTCACAACGTAAAATAAAACAACAAATTATTGAGTCTACCCCACGTCTACCCTACATCATAGTTTTACATTTTTTAAAAAAAATTAGAACGACACTGATAAACCGGATTTTTAGTCGGCCATATTTGAGGCCCATCGCAGTGTACCTAAGATTTTTGATATGCTCCTTCCTTAGTCTTCTTATTCAAAGATAGAATCTAAAAATAGAATAATATACAGGGTGTTCCATTTCTTCATTTCATTCAAAAACACAATATAATATTTTTTACCTATTTGAGACACTCTGTATCTTGTAAAAATATTTTTAAATTGTAGCTCTAATAGTCCTTCAACGAACCCAAAATTTACAATTTGTAAAAGTCTAATCGTTTAGCTACAATACTCCGTGTCGTATGTGGTGAACAACCCTGTATAACATTTTAATTTATTTACAACTGTCGGCAATAGCAATCGAAATACGCCGTAAGATTCTCGATCGGTTTGACATAAATATGACAGTGCCCACCAATGAAAATGCGAGTTACTAACTAATAATTCTAATTCTAAGTTGGCAACCGAGCTGGCAACTCAGCTAGATACTTTACCTATACCGTTATTCATAAGCTACAAACCTAACCTTTCGATGAAAATATGCGTAAAAAAATACTTCCTAGCACACAACCAAATAATATTAGTACAAAGGTACAATATCAAGTTTATTATAGTGATGTTCTTAGGCGCGTATGACACAGGTCATTACCAAGAACGAGTTAAATTGTTTTACAAAGGGGTAGATCTACCCCAAATGGGGTAGCTGTGGCACCACTGCTGTTACCACTTTTCCTGACGCTAGCTCGTGTGTCACGGCCTTGAATTTTTATTCCCAACGCGCATAAAGAAGTTTCACTTCAAAAATATATGTTTTTACTTTTCAAGATTTCAAAATGCAAATTGTCACACAATTTTTTTATTTACCTTTATACTCGTACAGCTGTAATATCTCATTATTTTCTATAAATGCCAGGAGAGTTTCTCCATTATCTAATTCAATCGAAACGAGAGAATTTGGCTTGTATGTCAGTATCTTATCAAATAGTTGTCTATTCTTTTCAAATGGGTTTAAATAAATCTGAAATCAATTAAAATATGATTTGTGTACCAATTCAATATGAACAAAATAGTACTACCTCAACCAAATCTAATCTATGGCCCACTGTGGTTCCTTTGTGCCTGGCCACAGCTAACATAGTTTTTGGTGCTTTGCTAGTTCCAACTTTTATAGCAGTTATGTCGCCATCTTTTCTTCCTGGTATATCGGGATTCCACTCTTCCGTTACATTCCCTGAAAAATGGCGAGAGATTTGTAAAATTACAAACAGTCATAATAGAGTAAGGTCCCAGAGCGATCAGACATAACATATTTTCACAAGGATGAAACTCTAGGCTGTCAGTAGTGTTCTCATGTGCTTTGAATACAGGCGTTTTTGTGAGGTTCGCCCCGTGACACCTTGACAGATACCAGGTGAGAAAGGTAACTAAAAGAAATAGGTGACCTTTACTTATTTTTACTTATTAAGCGCATAGTTCTCCCGCGCTCATAGTCACGGCTAAATAATTTTTGTGTTTAGAGGATGTCTGGTCATTATAATCTGTCTGACTGATTAAATATAACTTTATAATAGCTGTCTTAATAACATATGTAAAAATCAGATATGTAAAAATAAGTAAAGTTCATTTATTTCTTTTAGTTACCTTTCTCACCTGGTATCTGTCATGGTGTCACAGGGCAAACCCCACAAACACGCCGGTATTCAAAGCACATGAGAGTGTTACTGAGAGCCTAAGGTTTCATCCTTGTGAAAATAAGTTTTGTCTGATCGCTATGGGATCTTGGACTATAACATTTTTGATTCTATTAAATTTAATTATTCACTGTGAACATTTTTCTTTAAATATAGTTCACCGATTAATGAATCTGTAACTTTATTAAAATCAAGTATTTACCAATAATAACAGCTTCGGCATTGATTCCGAAATCTTCGTCTATAAAAGAATTATCCCTGAACAGATGCTGTATTGTATTGCCATTTCTCAGAGACAGTCCTGTGCTGAAGCCTCTTGGTACAAAGTCTGCATTATCTAAAAACGATCAGCAATACAATACGTTCATTCAATTACTTGAGCATTATACAGGGTGTCAAGAAAATAGTGTATCTAACTCCAGTGGGTGATTCTACAGATAAAATTATATCAGAAAGTTTCTTGACCATATGCCCTAAAATGCTTCCCTAAGTAATTACAGCCCTCGAAAGTTTAAATAAAAATAATATATTTTGTTTATTTTTAAGAACATTGGTAAACAGTTTTTCTTGAAATTTGATACTCTTACATACATTTTAATGCCAAAGCAAATGGCGATTTGTGTAAAATTCCGTGACAACCCTGAAAATGTACTTTCCATTAGGGTAGACAGTACTACTGGTGGTACTTCTTTTATCCTTATACAGGGTGAGTTTCCTACGATGTTGTCTATGGGTATTTCGGAAACTACTGGAGATAGAGAGTCGGTTAAAAGGGGAAAGTATTGCAGTATTGTGGGATGATAAATATGCGTTTTTCAGATTTTTAAAAAAGTTCATGGATTACGAGAAAAAAACAAATTTTGGCTATATTAAAAATTGTCCTTATTTCCTTCCTTCTATTTTAGACAAAAAGTTTTCAGATAAAAATTGTAGATAATCACATCCCTAATGAGTTTGTGTTCTCCGATTTTTTTTAAAGCCAAAAAAAAGGAAAACGGTTTACCAATGTTCTTAAAAATAAACAAAATACATTATTATTATTTAACCTCTCGAGAGCTGTAACTTCTTCGGGAAGCATTTTAAGGCATATGTTCATAGGGAATTTTTGTTTTATTTTTATCTGTATAATAATCTACCAAAGTAAGATAAACTATTTTTTGACACCCTCTATAATTTCTATTCAACGTTTTACTTTTCTTCGGTATTTTGCAACTACAAGATACCCTTTATATTCGCTAAAATGTATTTTAATACCTAATAATGTGTCCACTCAAGAATAAAATAATGTAAATAGCAAAATATCTTGATGTGTAATTGCCAAGTCATTATAATTATTGTAGAAATAAAGACGTCTAATATTGATACGGACACTAAATGTTTTTAATTGACTAGATAACAATTTAAAACAAAGCCGTTAAATATAGGTGCTTACATAGACACTAGCTAAAATAAGCTGGCTTGGTTTTATAATATATTTTTTACATTTTATGTTTTTGTGATAGGACTTGTATTTACCTGAATTTACTGTCCATTTTCTATAAACTTGGATTTCAAATTCACTATTCATTCTTATTTTGAACTCCGTTACAAAGTCCGATTTTAACCCATAGAATGTTAAGGGTACCACAGAAGCTTGCAAAAGTTGCTGATCTTCGATGCTATCAATGAACTGAAATAATATCAGACATAGTATAATTTCTGTGAGTCATTTTTATTCACGGGGTTGAAAATTTATTGAATTATTAATATCCCTATTCAAAATAGGGATTGATGGCAGAAGGGTGAAAATTTAGGGTTGTATGTATTTTTTAATGCCACATCATAAAAAATAAAAATAAAACATTTTGACCAAATAATTTAAAAAAAATGGGGCGGACCACCCTTAAAATCACTTAGGTATATAAAAAATAGATAACAACATATTCTCAGACCAACTCAATATTCATATAAAATTTCATCAATATCGGTTAAGCCGTTTCGAAGTAGTATGGTAAATAAAACTGACACGAGAATTTTATACCGGGTGTGCCTCAAGTAGTATGACATAAATTAGGATTGATAGACGCATTCTTTTTGGTCCTATTTCAGTGGAAATGACTACAACTTTTGATTTTTAAATGACACTCTCACTATTTTTTTACTGTATTCTATAGAAAATGACAACTCTGAATAGAATAACATATCATATGTCAACTTTTGACATTTTCGCATGTGGTTTATTTGAAATTATAAAATGCGGCTCATATAACGACAGTTGGACTCGAAATACCAAGTGTGTGGTTATGTTTATAAATCATACGTAAAAAAATGCTTTTTCCAAATAAGCTAACGAGACAACCTCTTTCCATTTTAAAAATTGAGATACGATTAAAAATACAATTTCGACATCTTTTTAACCGGCCAAGACAAAACACGAAAAACAATGGACGATTAAATGTATTTTTCCAAGGCTCCTTCATTAAAAATTAGTGTTTTTAACTAGCTAAACTATGGCAATTTAGATTGAAATAATTAAAAATACAATTTTTTTTAGTGAAAATGTCAAAAGTTGACATATAATATGTCATTCTATTCAGAGTGTTCATTTTCTAGGATGCCAGTTAAAGATCAATAGTTATAGGCATTTCCGGTGAAACAGAAAGTGACCAAAAACAATTAAATACGTCAATCAATCCTAATTTATGCCATATACCAACATACCAACCATCTCGAACCCAGGTATATTGCATTAATATAATATTTTACAATATTTTGTATTATTTGAAATACTAATTCCGATAAATAAATTAAATTCTAATCTACTAACTTAATTTTAGTTTTAATATAGGTATTTTTAGGGTTCCGAAGTACCTATCAAAAGGTCCAAGCAATTAAAACCATATATTGAGGTTTATAGACCCTCGAATTTGTAAAAAAATCAAACTTCTGAGTTAAAGTAAAAAGATAGTTTATGGAACTTCGGATAGTTTAGTTTATGCTCATTAGATAGTTTCTACCGCAAAAAAAGACACTCTCAAGAGGATCAAAATATATTGGATATTTTGCGTTGACCTAGAACTACGAAATTTAGCAGGTAATGCCGTTTTATACTACAAGTATAGGAAAAGTATAAAAACTATAAATTTGTAACTAAATCATAAAAAATAGTCTTTATACGTTGACTCGCACTGGTCCGTTTTTTTGTATTTCATAATTCTATATTTTCCTATCGAAAACGCTTACCTTCAAATTATTCTCTGTAAATTCCCACAAAACAGTAGAAAACCTTATTTTGCATGCTAAATTCATTTCCTCGTCACCTCTACTGACCAAAAACAATTCTTTTTCGCCTTTGATTAGTTCAATTTGACCAATGCTTCCTGTATGCACACTGGCTGCATTGTAAAATCTATTTTCTCTATATACGAGTAATAGGGATACACAAGTTTTTTCTTCTTGCATCAACAGGTATTGCTTATTTTGACGTGTAAAGAATTTTACATATTTGATGTTTTCTGTCAAAGATATCGCCTGTGACTCTTCAAAATATTTAAATTTGTAAATTTGATTCCTAGCCTGTTTATGTAAGTATGTAATATCGGTACAAAAACTATTATAATCGCTCTAAAGGATAGAAAAAAAAAGACATTAATTGTTTCCATTAAGGTGCGTACTCACTAGAGCATTTTGCTTCGAACGAACCAAACGAGCCGAGCGCGCAGAGCCGAATTCGACAAGTGAATACGTGTTCGCGAGCAAAATTTCACCGAACCGAGCGCGCCAAACATTTTTGCCGGCTTGTCGGTACATGCATTTTACTCAAAGTGGATGCGTTGTTCAGTGGGTACGGAGGTTCGTTGCGTTCATGGTGTTCGTCCTATTCGGAGCATTTGCGTCTAAAAATTTTCATTGTTTTGATTTTTCTTTGCTCAAACGAAATGGAGTGGAATAGAGAAAAGTACCTTCAGTTAATAGACATTTATGAACAATATCCAGTGCTTTGGAATCCAAAGGATGGATTATACTAAAATAAAGTTAAGAAGCTTGATGCGTGGAAGCAGATAGATGAGATCATGGGATGTGCTTCTGAAGAAGCAAAGAAAAAAATTGAAAGTCTTCTCTGGCAAGTTTCATAAGGGAGAAGGCGAAAGGAAAAAAAATCTATTACATTTACGCAAATTATATCGAATATAACAATAAAGCTTGTTTTTTTAATTGAAAGATTTGACAAATGTCACATGATTTCTAACCTAGCTGTAAAGAAGCAATCACGTGAAAAATATCAAATTTTTATTTAAAGAAAAACAGGCTTTACTGTTTTTTATTTACTTGGAAAATTTTGGCATGTGTCAAATTTTTAAATATTTCCAGCGACTGAACCATTGCATTTTCGGCTACACTAATGATGCTAATTTGTTCTAACTCAGGTAAGCATATAAAATTAATGAAATTACCGAACTACGAATATCAAACACATAGAGTAAAATAGTATAGTAGAGTAAAATAGCAGAGTAGAGTATATCAAAGCGCGAATAAAAATTAAATACAACTGAACGTGGGAACACAGCGAACGCAAGAAGCACTCTGAACATCGCGATCTTTTCCTTATTGAGTTCGTTCGTGCGCGCTCGGCTCGCTTGGTTCGTTCGGACCAAAATGCTCTAGTCAATACGCACCTTTAGATTTCATTTAAATGAAAATTACTTACAATAACCTTTTTTTCGATGTCACAGCGGTCTTTTTCTTTTTCCGAAACATCATCAATTAACTGAATCATACTCATTCCATTAATCGTACCATTGCCTTCCAAGTTTTTAATATCTAAATCAGTTTTAATTGTCCAGTTATTTATAATTTCCTCTGTTTGATTAGAAGATATCGGTAGAGAGTATTCTTTCCATTCGGTAATATTGATTCCATTAATTAAACCATCAATTTCCAAATTACCATTTACAAAATCTTTTGTATTGAAGCTATATGTAGCGTTTAGTATTTGGTCTGTATTTGTTGTTACAATTTTTAAAGTAGATTTGTTGTTAACTGTCGGTGTTGTAAGCATTTCATTAATCACGATATTATTTAAAAATATAATATCTGATGATATATTTTGTTCAACATTTGCCTAACAAAACGTAAATAAATTTATTTGGAGTAACATTTATAAAAATTGTACTAACCATTGCAGTTTTATTTCTTTCAGATACCAAATCTACTCCATTGACTGTATTTCCTACACTAATATTATTTGTTAGGACAGCTTCATTAATTGTAATATTTTCTATTAGTTGATCAGTTTTTAAGGGAACGATCGCATCCATATTAATATTATTTAAATATTTTGTAAACAAGTTGTCATGAATTAGAATATTGTTGAAACAATATGTTCCTAAAATGAAAGAATTAGATATTAGTTCTACAGAGTCCGGCAAGAGTGCGTCGGGCATCTGTAGCTCCTAGAATAAAAAACTTGGGAATTTTGTTTAAGTGCAAACCTAAACTATGTATTAGGATCTATTTCAGGAAAATATTTAAATTTCTATAGGGTGGCTCAAAAAAGTCTTGATGATTTTTTTTTAAATTGAACATCCAGTATATTATTGCATTTTTGGCTCTTTTTCAGATCACTGTATATAATCCTAAGATATCAATAAATATATTCCGATAGTTTCAGAGATATTAATGAGTAAATAAGAAATATATAATTTTTCAGCCTTTCTTAAAAAAATATTAAATATACAAGCACTGTACTGAAATCAAAACCAGAGTACCTAAACCGATGAGTAGCGACAGTCCCGTTTTCAATTTTCTTTGCGGCTGCGCGAAATAAGTAGGTTATCTGTCATACGAAGAAGCGAAGTTGCCACTGTTGCCATTTATCAAATATCTCTATATACTTTATTTCAAGTATACCTTAAGCAACGAATCGTTTTTTTAATTATTTATTAGCAGTAAGATATTTTATACATTCAAATTTAGAAATAAGGATAAAACAAAACAAAAAAGATATGTATAAAACTTTATAATTAATTCCACTTCAAATTGTGAGCAGTGTATACCATGTTTATAGGACCACTTCATAAGTTGAGCAGTTAAATACGTAGTCTATCTGTCAAACACGTCAAAAGAGAGAGAAAGAAAATTTGGTCCCACCACATCAAAAGAGCCGACGGTTTCTGTCGCTACTCGGCGATCTACGTACTCTGTCAAAACTATATTAGGTATTTACTTTAGATGGTTTTTTCTTACTTTCCTATAAATATGGTAATCGTAAATCATATAGGATGTTACTTTGTTTAATTTACGATTCTATTATTGTTCGTATATTATTTTTTTACTAGATGGAGGGTTAAAAAATGAGGGGTTTCGCAGATATTCGCGGTTTCATATTTTATATGGCATTTTCCACAGTAAATTTTTACTAAAGCCACTCAATGATTGAAAGAGCCATATGAAATAATACTGCGTGTGTCTGCAAAACCATTAAAAATTTCGATATACTTTACTTACAAAAAAACAAAGCAAAATTATTTTATATTTTATAAAGTTTATTATTAAGTTGGGTAAAGTTTATTATTAAGTTATGTAATTAAAGTTGGGGTAGAATTTTAAACACCCTGTAAGATTTAAGATTACGAGATTTATAGGAAAGTAAGTATATATCATCTAAAGTAAATATCTAATATAGTTTTGATTTCTAGGACAGTTCTTGTATTTGCAATATTTTTTTAAATCTCGGTTGAAAAAAAAATATTTTTTATTTATTTAATAATATCTCTGAAACTATCGAAATATATTTACTCATATCTTAGGAATATCTAAAGGGATCTGAAAGGAAGCGAAAAAAAAATTAAAAAATCAACGAAAAAGGAAGCATTTAAAAAATCATCTCGATCCACTCCTACTTTTTTGAGCCACACTATAGAAGTTAAAATATTTTCCTGAAATACATCCTCGTATATATTTTAGGTTTGCACTTTTCCACGTTTGCACAAAATTCTCAAGTTTTTTTATTCTGGGAGCTACAGATCCCCTACGCACTATATTGCCGGACCCTGTATATTAATTTCTAACATAAATACATTAATATAAATAATATAAAACTCATTAATATAAAAAATACTGATTTTCAATGCATTTGTTATAGTGAATAAAATGTGTGTCTAGAATTTAATTTAATTTCTAATAACCACAGTTTATTTAGTACCAGCTGAATTAATACCATTCATAGTTCCAAAACACTTGTTGCGGCGCGGCAAAAGCTGTTATAAGAATGGCTTCAAAACTGCGGGTGACCAAGGAATCTCTAGAAAGGTGGAAAAATTCAGTAGAGCAGAGATAGGCGAAAAGGTTCATATTAGACATTCGCCAAAATTCACGACTGACCTGTTAAGACAGGAAGACTATTAAAACTTTAGTCTACCAACAAGTCAATCTTAAATTGATAGAATTGTTGGACAAAACCATGTGCAAGTTCAACGACAAAAACAGAATTGTGCAAGAAACGACAAAAGAGATTTTAGGACAATATTAGCCAATGATAATCCATTGACAAAGAACTATGTATATGGATAGCTCAGTCTCCAAGTTGTTAGAATTTTTGAAATTATTACTGATTGAAAAATGTAACCTACAGTTCAGAAGAGGATCACAATAAATCTGAAAAGGTCGCAGTGTTCTGAGTATGAAACAAATGATCGTACCTCAAGAGGTTTGTTGTTAATAGGCTGTGAAACTAATATTATATTATTATACGTAACTACATAAAGTCAAATACCATTTAGACGTCCCCTATCAATATATACAGCGTCCTCCAAATGTTTTATCAAGTCTTGCCCATACAACTTATTTGTATTCAGTGCTTCGGTAACTTTTAGAGTATCAAAAACGCCCACAATCTTATTAAACTTGATAGGTCCTTCAATAGTCATGTCTTTGGTAATAAGTACAACTTGTTTCTCAAATATTGGTAGTAACTCCCCATTAATATCATCTTTAATTGCTAAATTTCCATCAATATTGACCTAAAATAATCAAACTTAAACAAAATTAACTAGACAATAAGCTTGATATTCCTACAGGTTCTTCAAATATGACATCCTTCTCTAAATATATATCATCATCGGTATAAACTAATTGATTCAGAAGATCTTCTATGATTTGATCGTTGATAGTTCCATTTATTTTTAAATCCTTGATGTAAGGTAATCGTTGAAATACTACATCACCTGTAAGGGATCTTTAATGAAAAGCTCTTTTAAAAAACAACAGAGCAAAATATTACCTTTTACTACAGCTAACTTGTCAGTTATGTTTATATTACCCAAAACATTTTTAATGTCGACATTCTGAACATTAATACCAACTTTTAGGTCATCTGGTACAGTGACATTTCCAACAAATACTATATTTCCAACGATACCCTGTTTGGCGTCCCTTCTTAAAATGTTTCTCAATTCTATGTCGTTCAAATAATCAATTTCAAGCAACTTGTTGACACCAACACCATTTATGAACACTAAATCTCCTTGAATGCTGACACTTGTTTCGTTTTTGTAAATTAAATTTGCTGCGTATCTTTCAAAGTTAGCACCGGCCAAATTAAGTACTTCCAAAGAATCAAAATAACAATTTCCCTTGAAATGAAGAAGTAATATTTAAGCATTATTTTTAAAAGATTCACTTACGGTTATTAGTAAAGATTCATTACTGTAATTTCTGCTTAATTTTACCAACATGTCATTATTAAGAATACTTTGAAAGTTTTTATCGTTTATTGAGTCAATATTGAGATTATTTTCAACATACAGATCTAAAAAAAATATACATCTTTTAAGGTGTTGTTAGTTTTTCTTTAGATACTTACCAGTAATGTTTGGTTGTTCATATAAAGCATTTGTTACATTTTTTATAAGTGTTCTGTATGATAAATAATTGTCGTAATCAATTTCATTTACGTTTTTAGGATCAATATAGGATACAGTTAGCTTATCAATATAGAACGGTTGCAAAATACTTTGATTGTTTACGTAATGCAAATATCCATCTAATAGTCCATTTAAGTCAAAATGTTTGATATTTCCAATAATATTTCCTTCAACTACCAGATCATCTACGTCCATACTTAGGACTACTTCATCATTAGTAGAAGAATTACGATTTATAGACGCGTTGTTAGATGTTATGTTATTTAGATTTTCAAAACGAAGTGTGTTTACATCTAGGTCATCCAAGAACAACAATTTTGAATAGATTGTATAATTTTCTGTTGTTTTTAGTAAAGTTTCATTCAATTCGGTAACATTTTCACCATCAAACAATCCTCCGATGTCTATATTTTCAAAATATACATTATCAGATATTGTATTGCCTAACAGCTCTTGCTCAGTGTCTTTTGTAATAAAAGAGTCTATTGAAATGTTATTTATTTTTCTCGAATTAATATTGAGATTTTTTAATGAAGTAAATCCTTCTGTGAAATTTTTAATACCCGTAATATTTACTTCGGTTTCATTCTACAAAAAAATATAAAATATTAAATACATTCACAGAAACTAACGCATATTGTTTAAGCACCTGATAAACAAAGCTTTGAAAGTATTCCCTTGCATCGATATTATTTAAATTTTTCTCTATTATCAGTTTGCCCTTAATTTCTAAACTTTTCAATTCAACATTTGATATGATATGCTTTGTGTCTTGTAAGCCAACATTGGGAAGAAAATTTTCAATTTCTTCGCCTCTAATATCACCTTGTATCTAAAATTAAAATGAATTTAGTACAGAACAATAATTATATTCAGTAGTTAAGTTATGTTTTTTTTTGTTCTTTGACATTGTAAACATTTATAAATGTTTATTTTAAACAATAAGACTGACAATATTATTTGTATAATGTTTTGTATTATCTTTTGTTTGTTTGTGTACCTTGTTTGTTTAGTTTACCTTTGTCTACAAAATGACAATTTTTTTGCTAATTAACTTAGCGATCAAGGCACAGGCAAAACCGCTTAAGTTAGAAGCACAAAATAAAATTGTTCTTAAATGTTTCTTAAGTAACGTAATTAAGTGTTACAAATTGATTTTCAGAAATTCATCTTCTGAAAAGGCGATTTCATATTTATGAAAAATATGAGTATAGGTATATAGAAGACACAGAATTCGAAATAGAAAATTAGAGAAAGTATAGTAATTTCCAGCTTAAGCCGAGGAACAATACATAACATTAATGTGTCTTGTTTTTTAATTCTGGGTGCAACTTTTTCCGACAAAGAATTTTGGTAATTATGTATTATTTTGTAAAATTTGTAATCTCTAGGATCTTCTAGATGGTAGCTAAGGTAATGAAAATTACTATGATTTACAAAACAAAATATGGGTAGTCACAAATCAATGTGTGTGAATTACAAATTATAATACAATTTTATATATAATTTTCCTGGACATATGAGTAAACCTATTAAGATGAATAGTAATTTATTTGCAATCTTTATGTATAAACCCTACATCTATTGTAATTTGACGGAACTGTTTATGAGTTTTGAATAACAAGCTTCTTAAATTTAAAAATATTTTTTTTTTGGAAAATTACAAAAAATATTGTACTTATTACAGTTGAGGGTTGGAACCTTTGGTGTTACACAGCAAAATAAAAACACTAAATCACCACAATACACCAAAACACTTTTACACCAATACACCAAACCATGTTAGCATCATCAGCAGATGATTATAAACTAGTTTATAATCATCTGCTGATGATGCTAACATGGTTAGCCAAACGCGCGTCCAGTGTAAAAGTAAAAGTGTTTTGGTGTATTGTTTCGCTAACCATGGGTACCAACGCGCGTCCAGTGTAAAAGTAAAAGTGTTTTGGTGTATTGTGGTGATTTAGTGTTTTTATTTTGATATTGTACTTAATTCAAATTACAATGAAATCATTGGAAGTTTAAAAATATATTTTATTACTTTTACGACTTTAGCTGTAAAATTATACGGTATTTTGTAATTTTACTATATTTTGTAATAAAAACAAAAAACAGAACTATACCGGGTGTGTCTCAAAAGTGGCTCACTCCTATATCTTTTTTTATTTTTTCAGATAGAAAAAAAACGAGATTTGGTATGTTGGCATATGACATAAATTAGGACTGACTGACGTGTTCAATTGTTTTCGGTCACTTCCTGTTTCACCAGAAATAACTACAACTTTTGATTTTTAATGGCACCCTCGGTATTTTTTTTTACTTTATTCGATAGATCATATGTCAACTTATGAAATGCTCGATTAACAAAAAACGTATTTTAAATTTCTTCTCTAGAGTGCCATGGCTATGTTAAAAACACTAATTTTTAATCAACGAGCCTTGGAAAAATAAATTTGATCGTCTAATGTTTTTAGTATGGCCGGTTAAAAGATGCCCAAATCGTATTTTTAATCATATATCAATTTTTTTAAATGGAACGAGGGCGGCTCGTAAGAATATTTAGAAAAAGTATTTTTTACGAATAATTTGATACCACACACTAGGTATTTCAAGTTAAATTGTCGTTATGAAAAGCATATTATAATTTTAAATAAATCATAGGCGAAAATGTCAAAAGTTGACATATGATATGTCACTCGATTCAGAGTGTCATTTTCTATCAAATAAAATAGAAAAATACCGTGGGTGACATTTAAAAATCAATAGTTGTAGTCATTTCCGGTGAAACAGAAAGTGCCCTAAAACAATTGAATACATCATTCGATCCTAATTTATGTCATATAATAACATACCAAATCTCGTTTTTTTTAAATGAAAAAAATAAAAAAGTTATAGGGGTGAGCCATTTTTGAGACGCACCCGGTAGAGTAAAGCTACAAATCAACTTTTCTATCACCGTATAGTGAATTTCAAAAAAGTGTTTTGTAATTTTCCCAAACTGAGTTGAATCGATCCTTGTGGTAAATTTACTACACGTAACGTAAATTCAGTAGGCAAAAAATTATTACTAAATTGTTTTAGCAGAAAACTTCCAAAACATTTTAAATAAAATGGTGGAAGCAATTTTTAACAGTGTAATTATGCTCTGCTAATCCATTTTTGCACCCATATTTTTCTTTTATTGTAATTTTTTTACGTAACAAATTCTTTGTTGATAAAATTATAGCTGTTTGAAGAACAGCCTTTATGCACCTTCACCGTTTTAAAGCAACTGGCAGGATCTTTTTCATATAAAATGTATTATTAATAGTAATTTCTTTCAAGTCAGTTGAATTCCTGTGACTTGATCAGTTTACTCGACTCTTGAAAATGCGTCTTAATTAAATAGTTAATTTATATTATTGAACACTGCTTCAATAACTTAACTTTAACAAGCATAAAGCAGTGGACATAAACTATTAGAAGTCTACATCTTTTATAAAAAATATAATAAAAAGATCGAAACAAGTTTTCAAAAAATAATATGATAAAGAAAATTTACTTACATCTATGTTCGATACGACTTCTATGTTATTAAAAGTAATATTTCCCTGAATATCTTGGTCTCCAGATAACGTAACAACATTGTTTAAATCTATGTTGTTAACTAAATTCTCAGAAACAACCTCATACCCTCTAATAATATTGTTAAACGTTTTTACACCTAAAATTATATTTAAATGACTATATAGTAATGTGTTGATAATTTACAAGAAAATATAAACCAACCTGATATTACTAGCTGATCTTCGTTAGAATTTAAAAGAACATAGTCTTCAGGAAACTTCAAGTTGTTCAAGGAATCTGTCTTAACATCACCAGTAACACTGAGGTACTAAAATGAATAGAAACATTATTAAACTAACTCTTCTAAAATTATAGTTATTAATGATACAAGTTCGATACGAACATCATAATGAAGTGTTAGCCGAGTGGCTTAGTTACACAGGTTTCATTAAAAAGTTCATATCGAACGTGTATCATTCAAAATTTAATCTACGACGCGACACGAGGGACGATCCAAACAGATTTGATTTAATTTAAAATATCAGAGATATCCTCATAAAAATTCAAAATTATCAGGTGCCCATATTAGTCGACGCCGTGGTAACCGTGCTTGAAGTGTCCCTTGAAGGCATTGCGCAAAACGTTGTCCATTCCCTATTTCCCGAAAAATCAAGACAAACGTACGAGCAAGCCTATGTTAAACTTGAAGATTGGTGTAAAGGGAAAGGAATCAAGAATAGTAGTAACGAAAAGGCTTCATCACTTTGGGTATATTATTCCATGCTACGTTCAGTTATATCAGTAAAGAAAAATACAGATATTGGTAAGTACGTCCATTTAATTGCATTTCTAAAAAGAAAATCGGAAGGATTTCGGTCAAAAAATCGAGAATTTTAAGAAAAGAAGACACAACTCGTTTTTTGTTGGAAGCTGATGATAAAACTTATTTCCTGACAAAAGTTTCATTGATAGTGGGACTTGCGAGAGCCTGCCGGCGTATCGAGTTGACAAATCTGCAGCTGCAAAATGTTAAAGATGAAGGACAATGCATTCATGTCATTATTCCATTTACGAAAACAAAGATATCACGAGATTTTTTTATAACGAAAGGAAATGTTGAAGGAATAAATATGGTGGAAATGGTTCGAAGATATATAGCTATGCGGCCAAGCAACACGGAGCATACTCGATTTTTTGTGGGGTACAGAAATGGAAAATGTATTCAGCAACCCGTTGGCATTAATACTTTAGGGAAAATGCCGTATAAAATAGCATTGTTACTAAGTCTTCCAAATCCACAACGATACACTGGACATTGTTTCCGTAGATCCTCTGCGTCGTTGCTTGCAGATTCAGGAGTGGATTTATTAACTGTTAAAAGACAAGTGGCAGAGAGCTATATAGAAAATTCCAAAGAAAATAAGAAAAAAGTGTCATGCAATATTTTAGGTAACATTTCTGGCAATGATGGGTCTTGAACAAGTTCAAGCACTCAGGAAATAAATTTACTTTCTAAAAATTCGACTCACCTGCCATGGTCTGGAATTAATTTAACCAATTGTACTGATATTATAATTAATGTTTATAATAAATAAACGTATTTAGGTACCTTTTTTTGCTTTTTCTTATTTTAAAATTTGCGTGTTATTATGAATTCATAATAGCACTTAGTGCTATTATGAAAGCCATAATGACATCCAAATGACAATGTTAAATGTGTCATAATAACATTGTTGTAGATTAAATAAATAAGTATATCCCGTATATCCTTACTTCAGATATTGTTAGATTTGATATATGACAAGTAGTAGTCGTAAAACACAAGTCTCTCAAAAACATTTCAAAATCCTCGCCATTAAGATTTTTAACAGTGACATTCCCTGGAATGGTTATAGTATCGTAGATTCTATTACCAAATTCGGAAGACTTCGAAAAATTCAGAGCTAAATCTACATTATTCAATTTTTCAGTATTGAATCCATCAATGGCTTGCAGATTTTCGAAATGTAAAATACCTTTAAAGAAATAAAATTATTAAATTGTTTTAATAGATATCCACTGTCAACTTATTAAAGTACCTTTGGCTTCTTTCACATTAACCCATTCATTTTTAATATTAATATCATTGACCATATCTGAAATGACATTGATGTTATCAACTTCGATAGTATTTTCAAAAATTGCATCTCCCTGTAATTCAATGTTATCATCATGTTTGATAACAAAAGCATCATGTTGTAAGCCATTGACGTTTTTAAACATAATATTTCTAGTGATTAAGTTTGAAAAAGTCTTTTCACCTTTAATATGGCTTAATTTATCTTTTCTAAAAATAGATTAGGTACCTCGTAATAAAATAGCTTATTTGTCATGTATTTTTTAAGCATTACCTGACAACATCTTCAATTAGGTCCGAAGCCGATTCATTACCTATGAATTTTGTATTTATTTTATTAGTAGTTAGTTGACCAGTTATGTTAACAATGTTATTAAAAACGATTTTATCAAACTTATTGATTGAAAGTTTCATAAAATTTTCGTCTTTTAGTTGCTCGATGTCTTTAGCTAGATCTTCAATTTCTTTCTTTATATTGTCCCTATTGGAAGTTTTTGTATTTGATTCAGGTTTTAAGAAAGGGGCATTATTGAAAGATGGAATTTCCGCAGTGCGATCTAGAAGGATATTGGAGTTGTATTGTTCCTTTAGATTCTTCAAGTCTTCTTTCTGGATTTTTATTTCTTTCTAAATTATAAAGAAATAATTAATGGAATTAAGGTGCGTTCTCACTAGTCGGTTTTAATGGATCAACTTCAGTTATCAACTAAAATCGAAACGAATATTTGTTCACACACACAGAGCTGCAACGAGTTAGTTTTAAAAAGACTTAAGAATTATTTTAAGTCACTTCTAAAATCAAAATGATTTAAGTCAAGTCAAATTCAACATAAAGTTCAAATGATTTAAATCTTAAGTCTTTGACTTAAATCATTTAATTTCAAATTAAGTCATTTTTGTAAAGACTTAAATCGTACGTTATTTAAGTCGTTTTTATGACTTAAAGCCGCGTCTCCACCAAAGCAACATATGTCGACGACATTGTCATCAACTTTTGTTACTATTTTCATAAATATTATCGAGAAATGTATATCGTACCTACCAAAGAAATATTGTTGCTCGACTTCATTTTTCGACTAAAGAGCGAAAGTTTAATTAATGCTTATCAACATGTGGAGCGACGAGGATGTAATTATAATCTCAGCCGCATTCCTTATTATTTCGCGAAATGAACGTCGTCAAGCCAGGCGGCAACGTAGGTTTTGGAATCGTCCTAGCCTCCGGAAGAGAAATTTATATAGTGGTAGTGACTTGCTCACTGATCTTTGTACAGATGACTTAAATCCGCTCCACAATGAAATAAGAAGTACTACCAATAATTTTCTAAGAATGAGTTCAGCTGACTTTGAATCATTGCTCCAAATGATGATTGATCTTTTTCAATCCAGATTTCTTGTTTTATCATTGCTCCACTTCTTACCAAATTTATTTTTAGCAACAGAATCAAAAACAAACTTCTAGCCTTGTGAACTACACGAGTACAAATGGCAAAATATACCCGATAAAGTTACTGATAGAAGTTGATTCGACATGTTCCACATGATTTCGACATGTTTGTAAACATTGTCATCGACACGATTTTTCTTTGATGTACCGCTCCTCAAGCGAAACATGAAACAAAGTCGGCGACTTAAGTCTGCGACATAAAATGTCGACGACTTTACTGAATTTTCAGCAACATTGTCGACAACACTACGAGCGCTAACAACTATATGTTGGGACAAGGTCATATTTTGGAATTATTGCCCTGGTTTTTCAAAAAAATCCTAAACAATTTGACAATATTTTTATGAATTTGTAAATCAATCCATATTTACAGTAGCGGATTTTGTTCATAAAAGGACAAATTTGCTGACAACTAAATGTTGGGATAAGTATTTTTAAATAATTAATATCATCATAGGCGGCTTTGCTATAAACGTCACAAATGTCGCAAACTGTTTACTTCAGCATTGACAGCTTGTAAGTGACTCGATACTTTGAGTACTGATATTTACTGTAAGTAATTTTAATTTTTTTAATTTTCAATTTTCTTAATTATTTAATTCAAAGTAAAGGTCCGTGGGAAAGCTACAAATCAAAAACTACGCAAAATTATCATTCGTCAATACAGTACGGGAAAAACAATTCGAAAAATTTCTGATGATTTAAGTATTCCAAAAACCACGGTCTTTAATATAATCAAAAAATACGGCAAATCTGCCAATGTAGATGTTAGAGGTAAAAGTTCGGGAAGGCCAAAAGTTCTATCTCAGAGAGATTTACGAAATTTAGTAAAAATTTGCAAGTCTTTGAGAAGAAGTACTCTTCGCGAAGTAACAGTTACATGGAATACTGTAACTGGTTTAAATATATCAAGAGAATGTTGCATATATAAATGCTGTCTGGGGTTTTACAAGGTAAACTTTATTTTGTGTGGATAATCAATTACCTGAAGATTATTGATACAAATTCTTATTTAGGCCAAAGAGAAACCGCCACTGACAGAAATTCAAAAGAAAAATCGCTACAATTGGGCAAAATCTAAATTATCGTAGACACGAAATGATTGGAATAAGGTCATATTTAGCGATGAGTCTAAATTTGATGTTTGCGTTGGAGATCATCGAAAACGAATAATACGAAATAAAGCAGAAGCCTTTCATAAAGATTGCTTAAAGAGGGTTGTTAAATTTCCTAAGGAGATTATGGTTTGGGGTTGCATGTCAGCAAGAGGTTTGGGCAAATTAAATTTTATTGATGGCACTGTTAACGCCCAAAAATATCAACATATACTTGAGACCTCACTTTTGCCTAGTGCTCAAGAATTGTTTCCAAACGAAGACTATATTTTCCAACAAGATGGAGCATCCTGCCATTCAGCAAAATCAACTAAAAATTGGTTCCGTAATAATAATATAAAAGTTCTATCCCATCCTGAAAGTAGTCCGGACCTCAATGTTATAGAAACTGTGTGGCATAAAATGAAGCAATATTTAATAAACCACCCTCAACGAACAATTTTTGATTTGCGGACAAAACTGCAGTAAATTTGGGATAACTTTTCTCCTCAAATGTGCCAATCTTTGGTAAATATAATGCCATTAAGAGTTTAGGCAGTTGTTAAGGCGAAAGGTGATGTAACTCCGTATTAAACAAAGTTCTTGTTGTGCTGTCCCAATATATAGTTGTCAGCAAATTTGTCTTGATTTTGGCAAAATAAGCTATTATCAAAAGTGATTTGTTTACAAAGTTATAAAAATATAGTAAAATTGTCTAGATCATATTGTAATGTTTGAATTTAGAATAATAAACAAAATAAATTGAGTCGTTTTAACAAATTACTATTTTTATTGCAAAAAAAGACCTTGTCCCAACATATTGTTGTTAGGGCTAGTAGTCGGCGACAAAGTCGCCGACAAATGTTGCCTTGGTGGAGACCCGGTTTAAGTCTATATTTTTGACTTACATCATGATGATCTGCAAGTTAAGTCAGTAAAATGACTTAATAGTCTAAGAGCCAGTGAAAGGCTACCTGTATGGATTTGACCAGACCTGTGGTTTTGTACAGTGAGGCCCCTATACTTACTGTACATGACATGGGGACTCACTAAGCCCAACGTGGCGGACGTGACGGGAGCCAAGGTAAAAAGGTATCGATTTTTGATAAATTTTAAACGTATTTTACCACGTCTGCCGTTCTGCAATTTGAAAATATATTATAATTATTATCGGAAAACAAGAATTGCAGACCATTATCACGCGTTTAACATTGCTGCAGACAATTTTGAAAGTGGTGAAAAAAAAATTGAAAGTAATTGACCAGATCTATCTGCCATTGATATATTTTATTTATTAGGGTCTTATAAACTTATGTTAATCACGGCAGATGTCTTTATTGAGTACACACTTCAATAGACAACAAAATCTGAACTACTATTCGGTCAGATGTATGCAGAGACTAATAACTTTAATTATAATGATTGGTATTATTTACAAAATTCTCATTGGAATATTTGGATGCTCAATGGAACTGGAAATAACGTATATTGACGTCACAAAAATGTATAAAGAGCTTGGTGAATTGTTAGCCAAAATCTTTATCGACTTCCATATGTTCACAGGATGTGATTTTAATCCGGCTTTCTTCAATAAAAGGAAGAACAGACCTTTTACGTTATTGAAAAAAGATGTTGAATTTCAACAAGCATTTGGGATGCTTGAAGAAGAAAATTTGACGGAGGACCAGCTACAACAGGTATTTAACAGCATTCAGAAATTTACTTGCCAGCTTTATAATGCAAAAAAATCGACCTTGATGATAGAATAAGATAACAACTTTTCGACAGCAATTATAAAGCTTCCGACGTCAATTTAAACTTCAGCAAAAAATACTTAATTTTGATGCAAGCTCAATCCCACTATGTTAGAGTGAGCTTTACCAGCAACTTCTAAGAACACATTATATTTCAACAATTTGGAAAAATGCTCACAAAAAGCAAACTTACGACATTGGACCCATTAGATTATGGTTGGATTGAGCAAGAAGAGAAATTTGTGTTCAAATGCTTCGAAGAAGGTCAACTTCCAACCCCTGTGAGTGACTTAATTATCCAAGTCCCTGGTAAATTCATAGTAATCAATTCTTTATCGACTATGTTCGGATCAATTTACAAATTACATTTATTTCATAATTTACGTTTTATTTTTACGGATTTCGATTCAATGGACGATAAATAAGGCGAGTCAAACCATGAAAAACATGATTCCGATGACGATGAATAAAAATTCAAATTGATAAAAAAGAAATTTATTTTATAATGCGTGCATGATTCACGTTTTTAATTCATTTTTCTTTAAATTTTGTCTTAAATATATAAAAAAAAGATAATCAAATAAATATTTAATGATTATTTGCTGACTGTTATATCTAGATATTTGAAATTCTTTTAAAATATGTTTACTTTTTTATCATCAGCCTTATATGTTTTAGTATTTGTTGACAAAATTAAATATTAATTTCTATAAATACAGTGATAGACTAAATCATATTGATGTGAAACAGGGAACGTCATAACCATACATCTGACCGGATAGTAGTTCAGATTTTGTTGTCTGCTGAAGTGTGTACTCAATAAAGACATCTGCCGTGATTAGCATAAGTTTATAAGACCCTAATAAATAAAATATATCAATGGCAGATCTGGTCAATTACTTTCAAAATTTTATGCCATTGTTGCTTTCCGATAATAATAATAATATATTTTCAAATTGCAAAACGGCAGACGTGGCCAAATACATTTAAAATTTATCAAAAATCGATACTTTTTACGTTGGCGCCCGCCGCGTCCGCCACGTTGGGCTTAGTGAGTCCCAATCAGTCCCAATGTCATGTACAGTAAGTATAGGGGCTTTACTGTACAAAACCCTAGGTCTAGTCAAATACAAACAGGTAGCCTTTCACTGGCTCTTAGACTATAAATCAATATAATTACCCTCAAGTCAAGACAGAATTCAATTTAAGTACCTTTTTTAAATGTTAATATTAATTTTCTTGTATTACCAATTAGGCGATTTTCTTACTAGTATCGTAATATTAATTTATTGTAGGTACAGATATGAGACTAAAACCACATAAAATAAAACGGTTAATTTTCAGAACAACTGCAAACGTAAAAATATGATTTTTTTTATAAAATTTAACCGATTTTGTAGTACTTATTACCATTACAGTTTAGATTTCATCGAATACATATCTAATAAAAAGGGGCGATGCGTCTTGATCACTATGTAGCTAAGGGCTAGATTATTTTAAGGTACTCTTCAATATATTCGAGATAAATTTCTTTCATTCGTCTTTTGGGCTACATAACGGAGTCGGGGATTCACTTGAAAGACAACAGACTTACTACGCACGCGTAACATGACAAATAATCAAAACCGGATCCGAAAAGCATTGTTTTTTATTCTGCTCGACAGTTTAAAAAGAAATGCTTCTGTTAAAAATTTATCACAAAAATATATAAAAATCTGACTTTATTAAAAAGACTTAAATCTTTTTCTATTTTGGAATAAAGATTTAAATCATAAGTCATTTTGCAAAAGACTTAAATTTTAAGTATTAAATCAGCTTCCCAAGAATGACTTAAGTCATTAAAATTATTTAATTAAAAAAATGACTTGTTGGGTAATGGTTTTTAAATTGGCTGCGAACGAATAAATTGTTCAAGTGGGCATACCAGCTACTTGCGAATTATTAATGAAGGAATCAGAGACATTTTGTCAAAATTTCGCAGAAATTCTAGAAAACGTCTTTTATGGGTCAGGAATTGGATACTGCAAAGAAGTACACTGGGTGTTTCAGGAATCCTACTCGAGGAACTGGCTTTAGAGGACGAAATGCAAACAAACATCATTTGAGAATGCCTGAATTGCCTTGAAGTCATCATATCTTTAAAAGATTTTCACTATTAGCATTTTTACATCGAAAGTTTTTACTAAATAAATAGTATTTTAAATAGTTTAATGCAAATAAAAGACAAACAATGCAGCAAAGAAACATTTGCAACAAGAATGGATGCTCCAAAATCAATACCAAAACCAAGACAAAGACCAAGAAGTCTTTGTTTTGGTTTTGGTCATCACTACACATTTATACATAATAACCTATTTCACAAGGATTTCAGATAACTAATAAATATTTACTTCTAATTTTTCCTTGCGTTTAACAAATGTGTCCATTTCTTCTTTCTTCGGATGTTCTAACGGACGAATATTAATCTCCATTTTAAATACTACAGATGCGTTGTTAACTTTAGGAACTATCAAGCCCGTAAAATCGTCAAATGATATATAAGAGGATCCTAAAATCGTTTGATTATAAGAAAAGAAATCTAAAAGTCAATTTGATGGAAGATTACCAATCAGACCACTTTCTGAACTTTGTTCCATCAAACATTTTAGTCCGGTGTATGTCTCGTTGAATAAGTTGCATTGCATGTCTTCGTGCTCTTCGAATCTATAGTTATAAATTAGCATTTTATTCAATTCAGCAGAAAGTGGTAAAGAATTTTGAAAGTTGGTAAGAAAAATCAATTAGTTTTTGTATGTGAGTAAGATATCATACATACATTTTAAAATCCTAAAGGTATTATGTAATGAGGTCGGATTCACAAACTACATTGTTATAAAAACAAACCTGTTTCCATTATAAGTAATAACGTCAATTTCGAAAGCTGAATGTGATTGATAGAACAATTTCCTTTGTGCCAATAGAACAGTCTCATCACGGTAGGTATGGACAGGAACTGCCAGCCAGTAAGTGATGTTTTCCATATTAGAATTAACTATCTCCTCTTTAACAAGTTCAGAATTTCTAAACTGGTAGATCTTGGCATCTAAACCGTTAAACGCTAAAAATGACTTGAACCCGTTCTCAAAAGATATCACCTGATCTGCGCCCTGACTGGGCAATTTTTTAAACAAAGTAAAATGATTATCGTAGTAGCGAAATATGCGTACTTCGCTTAGAGTTGGTTGAGGTACAGAGAGGTAAAAGATTGAATCTGCGATATTGATTGACATGGATTTGGCGGATTCGTGTAGAGGAATGGATTGTAAAAACCTAAAAAGAATATTAATGAATATACTTATGTTATAAGTTATAAGTCTGGTAAATCAACTGTTAAGGTATGAGATAGAATAAAAGTAATAATCATAAAAAGGTATGAATATTAGAAAAAATAGGTATATTTTCTGAGCGCGTTTGGCGTATTTGCGAGCGATCATGTATGCGTTGTGCTTGCAAATGATGAAAATGTTGAAATAAAATCTTATAGGTAATTGATTAATAATTATATAGGCACTAGCTGTTCAGGTATCGATATACAGGGTGGTCGGGAAACTTCGGTTGCATATTCCGCAGATAAGTAAAATGTTCATATAAATGTATGGGTAGTTTTGGAGATATAGGGTGTTGAAATTTAATTTTTATTTCGATTTTTTTCCAAATAATTTCTGAACTAACATCGATATTTGCATGAAAATTGGTATCTGGGAGTTTTTGACATGAGAATTTTTGACATGATTGATTTTGATGTTAATATGACTCCTATTTGCAGAGGGCACCACCTACATATTTTTTAACTGATTTGAAGAGTAATAACTTTTCGTCTGTACCTGTATATAATACTACTGAGTAAAAAATATACATTTACGAAGTTTATTACGTAAAAGAAGTCTTTTGGTAAAAATCGCTACGACTAATAATGGTTCTCGAGATATTTGTAGTCGAAATTAACAATACCTCTGTCATAATTGACATAAATTAAACATGTTGACTAAATACCGTATGATCGAATAAAAACGGCGTCAGCGATGGCTATGAAATGAAGATCGCTGTCATTTTATATGTAAATTTATATAGGAAATGCCATCGATCGTCATTTCCAAGCCAACTGGACGCCGTTTTTATTCGATCATACGGTAGTTGCCTATTAGACTGAAATCATAAATTTGAAATGTTTTTGCGCCAAAAGTTCAGCGGAAACTATTTATCATAATTTTTTGAAAATTTATGATTAATTTAAAAAAAATAAGAAATTCGTAAATTTATCTTTTCAGTCAAGTAACTATATCTTCTCAACATGTTTATTTTTGTCAATAATGACATGTATTGATATTTCCATTCTAAATATCTTGAGAAGGGTTGCTCGTAGCGATTTTTACCTAGAGACATTTTTTATATAATAAAGAATTACGGAAATGTATATTTTTTCACTCAGTAGTTTTATACAGGTACAGACAAAAAGTTGTTACTCTTCTAAATAGTTAAAAAAACATGTAGGTGGCGCCACATACAAGTAGGAGATATATTGACATCTAAATCAAAGTTCTCATGTCAAATAACCCCCAGACACCAATTTTCATTCAAATATCGACCTTAGTTCAGGAACTATTTGGAAAAAATCAAAATAAAAATGAAACTTCTACGCCCTGTATCTTCGAAACTAAACATTTTGGGACTTACATTTATACAAACTTTTTTACTTATCTGCAGATTATATGCTATTGCAGTTTCCCGTATACAATTCGACCCAACCTGGATACCTACAGGTTTAGTTTTGACAAAAATTTGTTTGGTCTCAAAATTTATGAATTACCGATTTATTGAGTTAAAATAAAATGAATAGTGATATTTACCAGTGATCTACTGGATTCAATGTGAATTCATAGATATCCACAAAATAGCTTGAGTCTCGAAGGTTAGCACTGAGAGCAAACATGATATTCCTATTGCCCATTTTAGCTAATTGATATTCCAATATCTTTTTATCTAATGACCACGCCGAAACTTTTTCCTAAAACATTGGAATCATAGTATTTTTAAATAATATCTACCTATCAGTCAAATCATATACCGGGTGCGGCTCAAAAGTGGCTCACCCCTATAACTTTTTTATTTTTCCAGATAAAAAAACGAGATTTGGTATGTCAGTATATGACATAAATTAAGATTGACTGACGTATTCAATTGTTTTTGGTCACTTCCTGTTTCACCGAAAATAACTACAACTTTTGATTTTTAAATGGCACTCTCGGTATTTTTTTACTTTATTCGATAGAAAATGGCATTCTAAATAGAATAAAAAAAAATAAATCATATGTCAACTTTTGACATTCACGCATAATAAAAAATTGTATTTTAAAATTCAATCTAGAGTGCCATGGCTATGTTAAAAACACTAATTCTTAATCAAGGAGCCTTGGAAAAATAGATTTGATCGTCTAATGTTTTTAGTTTTTTAGTGTCTTGTCCTGTCCAGTTATAAAATGCTCAAATCGTATTTTTAATCATATCTCAATTTTTTCAAATGGAACGAGGGTGGCTCACTAGCATATTTGGAAAAAACATTTTTTTACGAATAATTTGATACCCCACACTTGGTATTTCCAGCAAAATTTTCGTTCCGAACCGCAAGTTATAATTTCAAATAAACCGAATGCGAAAATATAAAAACTTGACATATGATATGTCATTCTATTTAGAGTGTTATTTTCTATCGAATAAAGTAAAAAAATATAGAGGGTGCCATTTAAAAATCAAAAGTAGTCATTTCCGGTGAAACAGGAAGTGACCGAAAACAATTGAATACGTCAATCAGTCCTAATTTATATCATATACTAACATACCAAATCTCGTTTTGTTATCTGAAAAAATAAAAAAGTTGTAGGGGTGAGCCACTTTTGAGAGGCACCCGTAACATATTTACCAAAGTATATTCATTTATTGAGTACCAAACCAATTCAATTTTTTGTTCCTCGGTGTATGTAATTAACATCGTAAAATCAGTACCGTTTTTTCTTCTATGATAGAGTTTAAAATTAACTATCGGTGTGTTTAAGTCTAGAAATATAAAAATAATATAAATAACCCTATATTAAACTACAAATCGACTTACTAAATATTTTAAAGTTAATGCCAGGAAGGCTTTCATTTCTTTTTAAGTATACGATTGCCAAATGACTGTTATTTATTAATCCAGCGTTATAACATATTTTTCCAATATTCAATGTTTTCCATTCTCTCACAGTAAAGTTAAATTTATGAAACGCTTCCACATTTTCAATGTATATTTCTGAAAGTTTTAAATTTAGCGTTTTTCAGAAGCCTCTTACATTAGTAGAATAAATGCTGTTTTTACCTTCTCTATTTGTATTTTTAAAACTATTTTCAAACGAATTCCACTCATCTTCAAAACAACCACAAAAGGAAATTAAACACACCAAAAATAATACAATTTTATATAACATTGTGACCAAGAATTTAATACATGCTTATTTTAAAACACTACAAAGACAGTTAAAGTTAACGTATATTAAACCATATCTTAATCGAGTAAAAAATATTTATAATATAAAAAACTAATGGTAGGTATTCACTAAAAAATATGTTATTTTCTTTTTACTTGATATCATGTTACAAATACAGAAAAATATATTATTTATTTTAAGTTATTATAAAAAAGTAAACATATTTTACGTATTAAATAGTATTAATGTATTAATTATTGTTTTTAATTAATGAGAACTATAAAGTGCTATAAATAAAAATCGCTGTATTACTGGTTGTATACCCACCTAACCATACATTCAGTTCAAGGATTTAAATACCAGAGGGCAACGTATAATGTTTATTTTTATTTGACGCGTCGGTTTAAAAAACTAACCTCGAATAAAAGTAAAAGTTGTGTGTTGTGGCGTCTCGTAAAGCTTGTTGTGCCCTAATAACTATAAACATGAGGGGAAATCTTACAAACAACGGTAAAATTGAAACTCTATCATTCGAAGAGGTTCAGAACAACTTCACTTCGAATATTCCACAGAAATCATCATTAATCAGTGTGTCGGCGAATGTTTATTACGGTTATCAACCTTTAACAACAACCGACAATTCCAATGAACCCATGCAATGCGAGGACTTGACAAAATCTTCGAGTGAAATGGAAATTTCGCAGAACGAGTGCTATTTTTGGAACAGAAAACGTGCAAGGGAGAGCTCAGATCCCTTTTTACACAACTGTAAAAAAAGGCGCCAAGATGGTAAGGGTGTTTTGTTCAAGGATTGATTGAAGTAATGAAATAATTGTATATTCGGCGGGCCGTGTTTTCGATATTTTATAAAATAAATTAACAAGAATAATTGTTTAAATCAGCAAGATAAATATACTGGTGATGTCACGCCCATGCCTATTTTTAATATTGATGATGTTTTTAAAATAAACTAATATCTCAAATATTCTATTAGAGGTGCCAAAACAAACATGCCAAGAAAGAACGCCAAACAAAACTGGATTAGAAGAGGATTTGCTCAGAGAAACCCATGGATGTAGCTATTATCATTGGATAGCTAGCAATATATAAATCAGTATATTCAGTAGTTTGTGGTTGTTCAAAATATATTGCATTTATTTCGACAGTGTTCTGAAAAAGATGCACATTAGAAATTTAAGTATAGGCAAATTTGTTAGTAAATTTGATAAGTCCTATTTTTCTATCAATGTTTTAGAATAGATCTATTTTATAGAATATATGGCACATATAATAACAAATTTGTAATTGCAAAACGAAATATTTGTTATTTTTCTAACAATTATCACAAAATAAATGATTCTAAGATTTATATTGTTTAAATTAAGTTTGGTTATAGGAGAAATAAAAATAGTTATGCAGAATATAAGTATTTATTGAAATTTATCTTTGCTCATATCAGTAATGTATATATTTAATGTTTTGAGAAAAATAATGTACTATTCGAAATGCGATACAATCAAATTAAACTTGATTAATAAATAAACTGTTAAGTTCATACCAGTATTTATATAAGAAATCAGAAATGAAAAACTTTTCGATCATACATATTCAGTTTATGAGACTAAATATCTTAAAACAATTAATTAAAACATACATTTACAAGAATGGAATAATGACCTGCCAGATAAAATCACTAGTGTTATTAACAATAGTCCAGGATTTACAGATTAACAGAAAAGTGAATCAAATGAACAAATTAATATATGTGAGAAATGAAACAGTATAAAACGAAATAAATAAATATCCTCAAAAAATCTCACCAGTTTTATGCAACAGATCTAAATAACATTTGAGAGCAGTAAAAGCCAAGAGTAATCTAAATAAAAATTATATAAAATAGGCAAATATACACAATAAAAATATCTAATAATTTGTTTTTAAAATGTGATGGATAGGAAAAAATATTGAATCGAACAATTTCACTTGGCTCTTCATCCCCACTTTTATAAGAATAGAATACAACTAAGATTTATCACATTTTTTATACAGGCAAATAACTTCCTTATGAATTAAAAGAAGTGAAACATTGGTGTATCCTTCAAAAAACCTCCATAATTAAAAATTTCTAACTATAAACAGTAATTTTAGTATAGAGATAACATTTTTGATATATAGGAGATAAATATTTGTTTATTATTAATGATTTTATATTCACAGACAAGTATGTTGTATAACAGTTTTTTAATAACTTATGATATGAAATTTATATCAGTATTCTTATACAGTTTCTTAATTAGAAATGTTTCTTCAAATTTCGATGATTTCGCTTCTAACTTTAATTCTTTAAGGAACTTTGTCAGATGAAGTTTGTTTCAGTAGGGCTCCACATCATGATGTGCACTTAGAACATCTGAAACAATTCTAACTATGCCATATACCATATGATACAAAACTAAAAAAAGGTATCAGGTTACCTCAGAAATTTTGATCAATGTCATATGCCTCATAATTTTAATAACAAAAATTATAATCAAAAAAGTTCATCAAATCTAGGGTAACTTGACACCGTTTTTTTCCGATCGTATTATATAATTTAATACCTTTAGTTGGAGTGGCAGCACCTGATTTGATTTTCGTTTGTAATCTAGTTGGAACTTGATCTAAACCTTCACTACTCGAGGGAAAATCTATTGAAGGTCCATTTAGCACTTCTTCAGAATGACCCTAAAATTTATTTTAAAAAATTACATATATATCCTGAAATAAAATATAGACCAAACAAAATTGCGCTCACACACATCAGGTTCCCTATTTCAAATTTTCTTAGAGTGTCATCGATCGTCATTTCCCAGCCAACTGGACGCCGTTTTTTTTTCGATCATGCGATATTTTACAATAAAGTACGAAAATTCCAAAATATGACAACTACTCATAAAATGCACTAATGCGGGCGTCCTCAGTGGGCAACCTCACACTTGACTGTACTATAAATAATTTATTCTGCAGAAAAACTCGCATATTTTTCGAAGGAATGAATTGTTTTTAAAAATATATCACTTACTTTTAAACAAAATATTCATCGGACAAATCATACTGCATTTTGTAATTTTCTGTACCTGTTTACAACTTGCTGATCACTGTCAATACTCTTTCTTTATAAGCATTAGTACCCGACAAACAAAATTCAATTATTATTTGTGTGTTATTAGTAAAAAATATCTTGCAAAGAAAAATGCTGTAAAATCTTCATCCATTTTGTATCTAATTTAGGATCATTTTGCTTCTACTCGTTAATTTTCTCTAAGGTAACATAATTTTGAATTGAATTCAACCTTTGAATAAGAAGACTAAGGAAGGAGCATAATGCTATCCACGTATTAATGCATGGTGGGCGGAAAAAGCACTCTAGGGTCATGATACAAAGAATACAAGGTATGATATTGCGCAGGTTGGTCACTACGTCACAGGTGATAAACGGCACCATTGGTCGGCTAGCTCTGCGCGCCAATTCCAAATTGTCGAACAGATTGTTATGGATATTTTATTGTATGGCGTATGACGTCACAGGTGGTATGCGCAAACTTAACGAAATTGGAGCCGCTATCGATCATACCTTGTTTTCTTTGTACCATGCCCTAGGGTGGGGATCCTTGACAGTTCTGTTTGACGATTCATTTGACACATTTGAATTTGATTTGAAATTTTGTGGATTTGTCAGTCTTTACGGAGCTTATTTTATGTTATTTATTATTTATTCTACTACTGATAGTTGTATAAAGGTAGTAAATCTAGATGGAAATTGTGGCAGAACTTAAATTAACAGTGACACTATCGCGATTTATCGAAAAAGACTCTAGAATAGTTGGTTGTGTAGCGTGCGGTAGATCTCGGCAAAAATCGAGTTAAATAATGGAACAACGTTTCGCTAGTAAGTGACCATATAATATACATACGTGTAGTAAACCGATCATTTATGAAATTCACTTAAATTAACTAATTATATATTTTTTCTTGCATTTTTGCTTTTATTTACTACTTGTCAAAGATTAAATGTCAAAGAATTTAGATACGTCAATTTGACTTACCTGCTTCAGTAGCGTATCGGATGTTTATGGTTATAAATAATTATTATAACTTATCCATTTTTATTAGAATTTTATATTTTTATAACAATTTTAATAACTACCAACATTTATTCACAACGTAAAATAAAAAAAAAATATTGTGTCTACCCCACGTCTACCCTACATCATAGTTTTACATTTTTTAAATAAAATTAGAACGGCACTGATAAACCGGAATTTAAGTCGGCCATATTTGAGGCCCATCGCGGTGGCCCTAAGATTTTTAATATGCTCCTTCCTTAGTCTTCTTATTCAAAGAATTCAACTGACGGATTAAATGAGACAATGTTGAATGACGGATATCGTGTCTGAATATGATCCTTAATTCGCTGCCAAACCAATGTTGCCAAACTTTACAGGCGGTTGCCATATTGGAGGAATGGCATAGTTGCGGATGCGTATTTGTCTTCGGTCGAACGGCGAAAAGTAACGCCTAGCTCATATACTTATAAACTCTATACAGATTATCGCCTATCTCTGCAATATGTTGGAGTTGAAGCCGAGTTAGAGACAACTAGATAACCGGTCCATGTATATTTCACATAAGTTCATCTGTTAGGCAATCTGGCGCAATAGCGCAACTCCAAAATTCCGAATATCGATTAGGCCTTACTCTGAGGATTTGCCATATGTCGAACGGGAGCGCAAACGAAAGCCGTACGAAATTGGACGAATGAACAGTTGGTGCTAGCATCATCTCTAGCGTCTAGTCTCTTATTGGTCTACTCGATAATTCAAAATTCAGGCTTGCGCACTACGCTTGAGCACGCCTAACTGAGCGACTTATGCGAATTCCTTCAGTAGGAATATACCCATTTCACCGGCTCGGCTTCACAGAATTCAGGGTGGACTTGATACAGTTACTTTATAAATATATGGCCTAACTATAGCCACAGCTGTAGCTTTATTGATAAGGCCATCGCTTTGCGATCGAAAGGTCCAGGTTCGTATCCCACCAATATAGAACTTTTTTTTTGCATCAAGTCTAGAAATTACAAAATTTTCGTTTAACATTTCAAAACCAAAACTCGATATCTCGGAAACGGTTGGATTTAGGTACATTATGTGTATTACAATTTTTGTTTAAAATCGAAGGAAGAATTGAAATACCCAATAATATACAGGGGGTTCCATTTAAAAAATGTATCTTTGAGCTGCCACGACTTTATGACGGATCCTGTATACTTAAATTTATTACAAGATGTTAGGCATTTAAAAACCCTACAACTTTTGGGACCTCGTATACTTTGCCCAATAATCGACCGTTTCCATACATATTAGCCCCACTGTATAGCAATATAAATTTCAAGAGCGCAACTTCTATTGATCTTTCCAGCAAAAACATTACCTGCGACATAATTTTCATATCATCTTCCTCAGATTCCACAAATCCTCCAACAGCGCCCTCCTCGTCTAACTCATTTTCTTCCATCCTAGTTTGATCTGCTTCTGCCAAATCGCCATTTTGAATATTATCGCCATTTTGTAAAGCATCTAAACGACCATTTAATTAAAAACAAAAGTAACAACACAACGATACAAAAAATACCTTGATTCGGAATATCAAACAATGTACTAGCAACACTATATGCAGCATTTGAGTGTATAGAATCCTTTCTGTCTTGACTCACCCGGGTTTCAGGTATAGTCTCTTGTATTAAATGAATAAAAGATAGTTCTCCTTGCAAGAAATCTCCTATAGTCTGGATGAGATGTATTTTTATGTCATGGACCCTAAAATATTAATACGCCTTTAGTATGATGTCGTGAAATATATAAAATATATAAAAAGTTGGCGTGCACGAAGTCGTCGAAACTCGAAACTATTACCAAATTAAATTTCTAAGAAATAAATATTCGTTTAAAATTTGAACGCACTATTTATTTTTATTAGAATATATACCGTGCTGTCAACTGTTACTTTTGGGTCGGTATTTACATGTGTGGAAGTAAAACGCATAGGGATCTTATAAATCGGAGTGAGAGAAATGCGACGGTGTGCTGTTGCGGCGTTGCCCTATCTTTTCCTATCCGGTCTTTCTCTATGAAGTAAAGTAAAATCACGATCGCAAACCGCTTATTTTTAAAAGACTTTTTTCGAAAAGATAACTAGATAAAATAATTAGATATGTTTCTGAGCATCCGAAATGGAATTATAAGAATATCGTTAAGGTGTCAATTTTTTTGATAACGAGAAAACGTCAACAATCCCGATAATTTAAAAATTCAACTTTTTAACACATAACACGCCAGAACTTAAGAATCACTTTAGATACTGAAACCTTTTTATTTTGAAAATCGGATCTTGTACAATATGTTTAAATAAGAAAAATTCAATAAGGTTGCTTTATTCTATTCAAAAATTTTAAACAACCCATTCACTTACTTTTAGTGGGTAGCAATTTTCAGCAATCGTGTAACTTTTTTATTTATAAAGATTTTCACATACTGTCTGCGAAGAAAATATAGCAGAAATGTTAAGAAAGTTTTTGAAAAAACTACAATCAATTATTTCTAATAGATTTCAATTTGTGAATTCAGAGTTCTAATAGCGCGACCACTGTCGAACACCAACTGAATTCCACTTATTTTTACCATTTTTACCAAAAATGCAAGTGTTTCTAACTTGCATTTAAAATTTTCAAGCTATAGGGAAAATTACAATGACTCGTTAATAAATAAACAAATAAAGGATCACCAGACGTGATTAAATCGTGAAGCTGAACGCATGATGTGCACCTTTCCCTAGAACTTTAAGTACTGACAGAGGTACTGATTGGGTCTCTTAGAAATGTGCACAGTTTCTCGGTTTATTTCATGCGTTTGACAACGTTTTTACTATTTTCTCTTTGCTCGGTACATTATAAACGCATTGTGCTCTTACTTAGGAAATCTCGACCCAAGACTAACCTTTGCCAGCTCTTAGTACAAACTCATATTTGAAGTGAAACTTCTTATTAGCAGCAATTTTTTATACTTACTTTTTGCCGAGATACTGTTCTAGTACATCATCTAAGACATTCGAAAAATGTTTTAAAAACACGGTATCTTTCACAGATTCCTTGAATAACTCAGATTCCAGAAACACCTGTTTTATAGTCGTTAAAAGACTGATTCCCATGACCTCATCTTCAGTGTTATCTAGCAAAGAAATTAATTCTTTATAAGAATTTTGGAGCAATGGTTCGTCAGACTCCTGGAATGGTAAAGAAAAAAAAATACATGCCAAAGTTATTTTTTTTGTCTTAATTGACATACCAAGCGCATATTTAAAATGTCTGATGAGAATTGCTTGGTAGGCCTTGACCACACTGAAGCTTGTTCAGAGGACTCTGACAATGTCAATGAGTCAGACTCCGTCAACTAAAAGAAATAAGGTATACACAAATGCAAAATTATTAAAATCGAATAGAGGTCTATCTTCATAAGTGAACTGATCAAGTAACAGGAATTCAAATGGCTTGAAATAATATTACGTGTTTACGCATTTGATATCAAAAAGCTTCTGCTAGTTAGTATGTTGTAAAGTTGCCAAAGTGCATAAGGCTGTACTTCGAACAGGCAAAATTTTGCCAACAGAATTGACAGAAAGTTTATTGCGAAAAAAAAACTAGAAATAAAAGAAGAATATGGACCAGAAAATGTCGCAATTAGTCGCAGAACTACTTATGGTGCATCTAATAATTTAATACCTAAGCTTCAGTTAGATCCTAGAGATTACAAACAAATTTTAAGGGTGGATGCAAACCCATTTAATTTTTAGTTGGAAAAATATGTACCCAGAATTAAAAATCAAGACACATTAATGCGTAACGCTATTTCTCCACAGCTTCAGCTATAAATTACACTAATATTTTTCATAAGTATTAATAAAATCCACAGAAATTTCTTCTGTTATTTTAAAAACACCACTTGGACGCCTAAAGTTAAACAGTAGTCATATTACATTCATGCGAAATGAATTCAAGTGACTTGATCATTTGACTTTACTCGCTAGTGAAAATTAGTAAAAAAGAAAAAGAATATGATACAAGAGCCTTAAAATTATTCTACCTGTCTTGGATTGGCATTTTGCTGGGATGGCAGAGACTGAGTCAGAATGTTTTGAATGGACTGGAGAATTTTCAGTCTTAGCGAATCGGATTCTATTTTTTTGAGGTCTTTGAATAACTGTATGAGAAAATGAGGTCTGGCTTCGTTGGCTGATATCAAAGAGGCTACTTCTTTGTAAACATTCTCACGCAGTTCGTCAACTAACTTATTCCTAAAAAAATATGTCTGCGTAATGCTCACATTCCAAAGTTTGAAATCCAATGACAGATGAATTAACCATACTAGTTCTCAGGAGATTTTAAAAAGACTATTATTCATAAATTGTATAGTGTCTTAAGAGATTATTATGATTTATTTTAGTCTACAACTTTGAAAGAACAAATATAATTTTAAGATATACTTTTGTGCGCGCTAAAAAAATGCACATCAAAAAAATGTATTGTGCGGCGCAGCTGGTGTGGACGCACCTTATGAATATCAATAGCTAAAGAATACAAGGACTAATAACACCCAAGACCAAATTGTTACCAAACCACCAAACAGTGCCGTGGCCGTGCCGTTTTTGATAAATGTTTTGACTACGCTTATGGTGTATGCGGTGGTATCATACTAATTAATTACGAAAAAAACGTATTAAAATTTTAACAAAAGGTACAAAACTAGTATCGACGTATAGCACATATCAAGTATATATATAATACGCGAAAAATAATTATCGAATTCACTAAGAAAACGCTAAAAATATGAACGCGAAAGATGAGTGAACTGTTCATTTACCTATGAAACGTAACTCCTGGCTTTTTCTTATCGCTGCGGCTTTTACACTTGAAAGCTGAACTAATCACTATAGTAATAAAGTTTATACAAAGTTCACTACACACTATTAACTATTAAAAATGGCTGAAATTGTCGCTGATGATCAGCTGATGACTCATTCGTTGCAAACAAAAAATTGGCGTCTAATATCACATATATATCACATATAATATCACATTCTGCTACAGTCCGTATATGAGAGTTACATGTCCTTGTATTTTTTAGTCATTGAAGAATATTCTATAAATAGGCAAGATAAGAGGCAAATCAGAGATGGTGCAAATCAATGGTGCAAAACAACCTGTTTTATATAACTGCTACTTATAAATCACAGTTGTTACTTCTAAAAAAAACTTTTATTTTAAGCTGTAACTGTTTAACCAACAGTAACGTTCTGACTGATATTAGTTAGAACAGTTTTGTCCACATTAACAAAATTTTGATGTAATTCCTGACAATAGTCAAGGAATGTTATACTAGTAAGGAAGAAATAAAAAGTAATTGAACTCAAAAATTGAAATTTTTCCGCTCAGTTGCATGAGAAGAAGTATATCATTTTAGCCTCTATTATACAGAGTGAAAAAAATAGTGTACCAAACTAGAAAATAAAAATAAAAAAAGTTAATGAACAAAATTATACCCCTCTGAGAAATTACCCTTTACGAACTATTACGAAATTTTACACTGTCACCATTTGCTTTGGCATTGAATACTTTATTTCAAGAAAAATAGTTCACCAACGAATCTTAAAAATAAACAAAAAACAATTTTATCTATCCTTTCGAGAGCTGCACCTAAATTCCTCAAGAATCATCTGAAGGCATATGTTCATAGGAACTTTTTCTTTTATTCTTATAAGTAGAATCACCCACTGAAGTTTGGTACAATATTTTATTATATCCTGTATATATTTTTAAGATATGACATTTATAAATCTTACTTTTTGGGTCGTTGACTCGTTTGTTCGTTGTGCCATTCGTTCTGTCTTCGTTCAGGAACGATCGTTCTAAGACCATTACTATCATCTTCAGCACCATCTATTAACGACCTAGGATGGCTGATATTGAACAATCGATGTAGACCCAGCTCCAACTCTTCCAAGTTACGATGTTGCTCGAGCTGCGCCAAACCGGCAATCTCCGATTGGTCGCAGCCCAGTTTGTGCCTGTTTTGATTCACTATTAAAACGTCAGGGGGAGGAGCTTGATGCTCTGAGGCTCTCGATGCCGTTTCCGTGTTGTGTCTGGTGGTTTTGAGGACTCGTTTTCGAGGCGTATGTTCCTGGGAATTGGTCGATGAATGTTCGGAATTGCTTTTCGACGTTCCCGCGGTGAGAGGGAACGGGTTCTGCGTCCTGTCAATTCCCGAAGCTGAATTTTGGAAGCCGCTCTCGCTGTTTTTTGCCGACAATTGGTTTTGGCGAGAATAGCTGAAAAACGTGGCTTTAATTTGCTAGAGCAGTTCCTACATTAGGTCTAAAATTAAATAATTTGGATCTAAAATTATTTTTATATTAATTATTACCGACAGTGGAATTTTTGCTCTTTTAAACTATGTAAATAATTATTACAAATTGATATAAGTATTTTGAAACTTGATTTTAATTGATAATTTGTTACCTACACCAAGGAAGAGTAAATAGACAAGTATTGCTTAAAGTTTCATTCAGAACCTTGCAATTAGTGGAATAAATTAATGGTTTCAACTACTTCAAATACTTAAGAGTCCATTTAACTAGTCCGAAACAGTAGCAAAATAAGCTTTCGGCATTTAACGCTTTATGTAAAACTGGCTAGGTATTTTTACACAAATGAAGAAGGAAATTAAAGATAAAGGATTATAATATATTGGTATTGTAGCACATTTTTAGACAAGTTTTTTATTTTTAAGATTTTGATGGTCATCAACATCAACAAAATATTCCTTATGTTCGGACTAAATTTTCTCGAAAATAAAGACATAATTTAAAATTCCGTTACAATACGGAAATAGATTAAAGTTTTGTGATTACAGTGATATATAATTTATACGGTTTTGTAACAAATTTCTCGCTATTTTATAGCAAATGCTGAAGCTCTGCAAATCTTAATCAACCCTTATTCAAAGCACGTGTGTTTGGAATTTGGGGTGCGGCTTAACACGACAGGATCGGGCTAAGCCTTAGGCAGATTTCTGAATATATAATAAGGAAATATATAATATATATTTCCTTCGGCCACACACCCGCTTTACCCGACCTCTGAGTAACAGTACAGCGTAATTTCACTGACATTTTCAATTAATAGAAAAAGTAATCAGACTTTTGACTTTTCCACTAATTATACTTCGAAATTTGCGACAAATGTCATTTTGGCCTTCGACTATCCTCCGTCAAGAGAAATTGTGGTTAGAAATCAATAGTTGATTGTTTTATAAGCAAAATATTAGGCTTTCTCTATGTATACAATTGGCTAACGCAAGCTGTTGCTAGGATATTATATTAATTTTAACAGTGTTTCTTAAACATTGTGAATGATCGTAAACTAAAAAGTATAAAGAATAATTGAAACCACTAATTTATTCCACTAAATGCGAAGGTTCTGAATGAAGCTTTTGTTTCAATCTAATTGAAATCTACTACCATTAATTTTGACGTTTTAAATGCTTACATTGAAATTAGACAAACAACCTTCTACGCTAATTGAAACGTTACACGCTACAGGTTGTTTCTGAATAAGTGTCCAATAATGATGTATTTATAAATTAACCAAATATATTTTCTCTGTCAAGATGTTACTTCAATATGTCATATGGTATGACATATGGCAAAATGATTGGTCCTGATATTGGGCATGGTAAAAGTAATTTTGTATTGGTCCCTGTTCTTCCTGTATATTTTAAATTATTATTATTTCCAACGACAGGAAGAGATACATTGTTAAAAAGATAAGCTGCTTCTTGTCGGTTAATCCAACTATTGCTCAAAAGAATGAAGTTTCGTAGTGGTTTTGATATTCTTATTTGCTTTGTTTTATTGATTAAATTTGCAGAATATTTGAAGTAATAAACCTGCTACAATATTATGTAAAAAAACTTTACGTTGTGAACGTTTATGCGACCTACACACAAAAAAATAGCCAAATATATATTTAGATACTCACCTGAAATTATGATCTGAGGTCTCTTACACCAATATTAAAAGGATAATTTTAAAGGATAAAAGGAGGAATAGTTGAGAGAGAAAATATCACAACATAAACTACGAATAAATAAATAAAACACACAAAAACTAACTAAAATACATAATGTCGCTACGTGTACGATGGGGTTACCTTCTAAAATTGTCCCAATAATTGTTAGCTCTGTTGCCAGGCGCTACTTGATTATTCAAGGCCTGCCCGTTCCACATCTGAGCAGGTAGGGCCTGATGGTTCAGATTAGATGAATTGACGGCATGCAGAACGTTGTTAGCGTGATCGATGCTTTGCGACGTGTTCAACTGGCTCAGATTATTGAGACAGGACTCGAGCAGGCCGCTATTAGGCACGCCGGATGGGGCTGCTGTTGCGGCTACGTTAGCGAAAGAAGCCAGATCGTTGTTAGAGGCCACTGCTGCGGGGTTATATTGGTTAAGGTTGGGCATGGAGCAGGCCGCGGACACTTGGTGGTTAGTTTTAGTGGGAGCGGGAGGACGGAGATTGTTGTTGGGAATCTGGTTTTGGACGACGCTAGAGGGATAGGGGACTTGTAGATTCAACGGCATGTTTTGATCATTCATGGCCTGAATAGGGTACGGATGAACGTCTAATCGTTCTTGGAGCTGCAAAACAAAATGTGTCTTAAAACTAAACACACGTATAGTTGCTGCAAAAAATAATTGAGATTATGAGAATCTGTTGTGTATAGGGTCCTTCACAAAAGAAACATATAAAGAAATCAATAAAATTTGGCGTGTATGGCACCAAAGATGTTGAAACTATTCCCAAAATAGGTAAAAATTAGTTTAAAACTTAGGGTGTACTTTTCATTTATCTTATAATTTTATCATTGTTAAAAGACAGCATGCTATTGCATCAAGTAAACGAATTTGCCAATAAAAAGGCTTTATACTATATATCTTTATTATATATATCTTTATTATATATAATAAAGGCTTATCATAAGTTTTTTTTTTGCAAATCCGATATGTGGCATTTTCGAATATAATTTTAAAGTTCTGTTTGACAAATATGATATTAAATCTGCACTTTGTTTAGTTAAAAGAGCGATTTTCATTGCAGTAAAATGCCAAAATCACTAAATAGTCGGAATCAGTAACTTGTCTCGCCTCTCCACAATTATTTTGAACAGGAAAGATCATGATGAGCTGTTTATGCCGTTAAAATGCGTCAAAGAGGTAACAATTGATATTTATTGGGCTTAAGTTTTAAGGCTTTTAATAAAAATACATATATCTTTCTACGCGTTTCAGCTGCGCTCACCATCAAAATATTAGTTTACGGACTATGAGTAGAACCTCACAATAAGTGAAGAATTTGTCTGCCCAAATTAAGAGGATATACAGGGTGGTCCGAACGGTATTCCGGAAACTTCGGTGGCATTATTTTGCAGATAAAAATAAGTAAAAAAGTTTGTATAAATGTATGTTCGAAAATGCTTAGTTTCGGAGATACAGGGTGTAGAAGTTTCATTTTTATTTCAATTTTATCCAAATAATTTCTGAAGTAACGTGAATATTTGGAAGAAAATTGGTGTCTGGGAGTTTTTTGACATGAAAAATTTGATTTTGACGTCAATATGACTCCAATTTGTAGGGGGCGCCACTTACACGTGTCTTAACTGTTTTGAAAAGTAATAATATAATGAATAACGATAATTTCGATTCCAAATATCTCGAGAACCATTACTCGTAGCGACTTTTACCAAGAGACCTTTTTTACGTAAAAAACGTCGTAAATGTATATTTTTTCACTCAGTAGTTTTATACAGGTATGGACGAAAAGTTAATATTCTTCAAACTGGTTAAAAAAATAAGTAGGTGGCGCTCTCTACAAGTAGAAATCAAATTGATATCAAAATCAAAATTTTCATGTTAAAAAACTTCAAGACACCAATTTTCATCCAAATTACTTCAGAAATTATTTGGATAAAATTGAAATAAAAATGAAACTTCTACACCCTGTATCTCCGAAACTAAGCATTTTCGAACATACATTTATACAAACTTTTTTACTTATTTTTATATGTAGAATATGCTGCGAAAGTTTCCGGAATACAGTTCGAACCACCCTGTATATTTGTATACTTACCATTGTAACGGTACTTCTCAATGCCGCCAACTCCCTTTGTTGAAACCACAGCATCTGGCAACACTGGTTCAACGTGTTCAACATAAACGATTGCGTCTGTAACGTGTTTGTCGTTAACCAGTTTTGGTAATTGTTGGATTCGTTATGATTGTTATAGTTAGATTGTCCGTGAGACCAAGGCGCATCGCCATTTCCATTAAAAACATTTAATTGATTCTGAGATGTTCTAAAAGTGGAAGACGGTCCCTGCTGTTCAGAGTAGACGGAAGAGGGCGTTATATTGTTTCTCACTTGTTGAAAGTTGGATTGTTGCTGATTGTTAGGGATTTCTCCCAGGACTGAATCGCAAACCGTCTTAATCAGCTCCAGTTGCTTTTGAAGCTGTAACAGATATTAAATAATGACTACCCTTGATTCTTCCCTGTATAAATAGTAATTATATAAGAGAAAGAAAATACACTACAAATAGAAATAGAGAGGTAGGGAGGATGAGCTTCGACGAGTGTGAATCCAAATAGTTTCTTATGTTATGTTCGCGCTTAAGTTTACAGGGCAGAGTAAAAAGTAATAACAGCTCATAACTTCTAATTTATTTGAGTTTAATTTCCTCTTTTGTCCTATTGCTGTTCCGAATTTCTATGTTAGTTATTCAGACTTTCATCTGTTCTAATTTTTTTTTGAACTTATAGACTGATATAAATGGCATGTATATTCTTCTGAACTATTTTTAGTATTTCATGCGTAATTATTGAATAATAAGTGAGTAGTTAGTTTGGTCAATTTTACTATTCGTTTAGTATTTTAATCGTAGCTCGTTGTTAGTATTTTAATCGTAGCTCGTTGTAATTTTGAGAATATTGATGGGTTTAAACAAGAAAATAAGATATCAAATAAGAAATTCCTATTTGTAAACTTTCGAACAGCGAAACAAAATAGCAAATATATTATAAATATATAACTATACTTACTTTGTCTTGTTTATTGGACAATCTTTGTTGTTCCCTTACAAATTCTGAGGTGTTTGATGACAAACTCCTCAAGTTTCTTTCAGGAGTGCGAGAAAACGATTGAATTCTCTCAGTCGGTATTTCACATTCTGACTGACTGTCGCGTAATCTCTTGCTTAAATTTGATTGAAAATAGTTGGTCTGTTGTGGAAAGATAACATTTCCACCGTCTTGGATTTCAGAATATTCATTTTCATCACCGTTACTGTAAAATAGCGAAAAATACGATATAAAAAGCTGTTTAGGTACAGAAAAGGTAGGCGTAGAAATGATTATAATAATTTTGTCCGTGTCGCCCTCTAATGTCATCTATTAGAAAATATGCTTGATAGAAAAATAACTTGGGAAAATATACTTTTTATATGAATGATTCTCTGTAAAAATAATGTCTAATGTAATAATTTTATTATTTAATTATTTTACTGTTCCGCATTAAAATGAAAATAACAATGTTAACTTACACTGTTATATTAATAATTTAAAATTTTAAACTTCAACACATTCAATGTAACTTTAAAAACTTTCTAAATAAAAACTCTAGTTCACTGGAAGTTTGCACTGTGGTTTTATTTAATTATTGTTTAGCGAAGTAGATAAAAAAACATGGCATTTTATTACAAAATTGTATTTATGGATTAAATTTCATTTGTAAACACACAAAAGTGAATTCTGAAAAAATATCAGTTGATAATATGCATTTAATACTTCTAAACAATTTTGTAAAATTACAATATTGTGTGAAACAATGCAAGATGTACTAGCTTAAAATAGCTTATTAAGGAGGCTGTAATATACCGGGTGCGTTTCAAAAGTAGCTCACCCCTATACTTTTTTTATTTTTTCAATTAAAAAAACGAGATTCGGTATGTTAGTATATGACAGAAATTAGGATTGATTGACGTATTCAATTGTTTTCGGTCACTACCTGTTTCACCGGAAATGACTACAACTTTTGATTTTTAAATGCCACCCTCGGTATTTTTTTATTTATTCGATAGAAAATAACATTTTGGAAAGAATGAGATATCATATGTCAACTTTTGACATCTTCGCATATGGTTTATTTGAAATTATAACTTGCGGTTCGTAACAAAAATTTGACTCAAAATACCAAGTGTGTGGTATCAAATTATTCGTAAAAAAATGCTTTTTCCAAATATGCTAATGAGCCACCATCGTTCCATTTGACAAAAGTTGATATATTATTAAACATACGATTTGAGCATTTTCTAATTAGCCAGGACTAATAAGACACTAAAAACATTAGAAGATCAAGTCTATTTTTCCAAGGCTCTTTGATTAAGAATTCGTGTTTTTAACATAGCCATGGCACTCTAGATCTAGTTTCCGGTTAAACAGGAAGTGGCCAAAAACAATTCAATACGTCAATCAATCAATTTATATGTCCTATACTAACATATAAAATCTCGTTTTTTATTTGAAAAAATATAAAAATTATACAGGTGAGCCACTTTTGAGACGCACCCGGTATATTAAGCCATTGCAACGTGGTTTTTAACTTAACATATTCAATGTTACTTTTAATTTTTATGATTATTTGCAAACATTACAGAGAGGATATTGTAGCATTAGGAATTATTCTTGTTTTACAGAACTTTACAAAAAAAAAACCATTGTCATGAAAATCCTTGGAAAAATATTAAGAATATATTTTCTGAAAAGTATGTAAATTTATGAAATTTGACACAAATTCAAAACCACTGTCCTATTCATGACATTCACTTTATAATAATTCACACAATAATTAATAAACAAATCACATTTGTTAAGAACTTCTGTTGCACACTGCACACCCTGTAAATACTTAGTAAAAAATCTTACCTAGACAGTCGATCATCGCTACCTTGATCGTGGCAAAAAATAGACGGTTTCCAAGACATATCATTATCTGGATTACCAATAACATCATGATTTAAATTTGAAGTTCCAGCTGTAACAAGTTGATTATTATATAAAACTTATGAATATTGCAAACGCTCTTACCTTTATGCTTTCCCATTATTTCTTCTAATTCTCGTTTTTTAGCTTCCAGCTCGGATTTTAATGCGAGTTTTTCATTTATGCTGCTGGTCCTTTGTTTAGGTCTTGCCCCTTGATTTCGCTGAGATTTGTTTAACTGTTTCTGATATGTGTCATTTGAGACATGATTATCCAATCTTTAAAAAAAAAATAACAAATAATATATAATTTAGAGTAAATAATTTTATCAGTACCTATTTTCAACATAACTGTCATTTCTTTTGTGCACAGGTTTAGAAATTTGATTTTGTAAATTCTCAGCTCTTAAACAAATTTCATTTGCGGTTGCTTGCACTTCAGCAGCTGAAGAGTTTTCAGCATTGTTCACTATATCCAGCATTTCTTTTAATTTTCCCAACTGATCTTTCATAGAGACTATATTACGAACCTGTAGGCCTGGTTTACAATAAAATATATTAAATTGTAATAAAATCAGTAAGAGTTAAATAAATAAAATTTATTAATACTAACCAATTTCATTAGGCTCTTCATCTTCAAAAGATTGAAGCTGCAGAACCAAATTATCTACTTGTTCCTTTTTAGTTTGCAATTCCAACAGTTTGTTCCTTAACTCGGCTTGCTGTAGTCTCAATTCAGCATCTCTATTATCTAAAACCTACAAAAAACATTTACAAATCTCATAAAAAGAGGAAATGGAAAACTTACATGTATGAGTTCCTCCCTCTCATTATTGGCATTGGCCAAAGTGACCAATTGACTATGTAGATTTTGCATTTCTGTCACAATCTTCTCTGGGCCACCATTTTGATTAGCATTGCTTCTGTTCAGTCTTCTAGCTCTATTCTCTAGATCTTTTATTGCCGAATCAAACTCAGATAGAGACATATTTTTGTTTAGTTTTTGATGATCTAAGTTAACTTGATTACTACCTACAATAAATAAATGTTAGTTTAATATTTAAAAACCTAATAAAAATTTACAATGAGGGAGCAGAATTTTCTCTTGATTATGCCTAGCTTCAACAAATCTATTTTCGGCTTTATGTTGCTTAAGCAAAAGCTGTTGTGACTGTTCCCTCAAAGCTGAAATCTCATTATCGTAGCTATTAATGTCTGGCTCAATTTTTATTCCATTTTCACTATTTTCGGACGAATTGTCGCCATTAGGTAAACCCTAGAACAAACAATAGTTTTTAAATCTAGATATCAGAAAAAAATAGCGTAAAATTTTATAGAAAAAAAATGTCTTTATAAAATACAAATTTTCTTTAATATTAAAAAATATATTAGTAAAATTACTGTGTTACACATACCGGGTGTTGCATCGTCGTTGGGAACATAGGAAATCCCATGCAAAATTTGAACTGTCCAGATATTGGCTCCCCTATGGATTTTATAGCGAAGTCGTAAATAGACTTTTTAAAGGCCTACATTTGGTAAACACACATGCCAAGTTTGAACAATTTTGGACAAACCAATTTTGTGTAATTTGAGAAAAACTTAATCGATTTTTATATTAAAAACGAACAGGTAACAATCAAACACCAGTCAAAAACTGACTGGACTATAGCTTAGGTTTGCAAACTATGATTTTGTCATTGTCAAAAGTCATTTTAATAAAATTTTAATATTTAGGGAAAATTAACCGAAACATGTCAGATACACTGTCTAATCTATTTCCCGCGTATTTTATCATGTTCACTTTTTCTTTATGTATATAACAATAAATTATTACTAGTACTAAATATTAAAAGTTTATTAAAATTAAGTTACGTTTGAAAATGACGCTGACAACTTAAGGAATGTCGGTTTTTGACTGGTGTTTGATTGTTACCTATTCAGTTTTAATTTAAAAATCGATTAAGTTTTTCTCAAATTACCTAAAATCGGCTTGTCCAAAATTGTTCAAATTTGGCATGTGTGTTTACCAAATGTAGACCTTTAAAAAGGCTATTTACGACATCGCTATAAAATCCATAGGGGAGCCAATATCTCGACAGTTCAAATTTTGCAGCATGGGATCTCCTATGTTCCCAACGAGGATGCAACACCCGGTATAATATGATATGCAATGTTGAATATATTCCCTTAAGGAACATCTAAACTATATACTATAGTAGTCACCTATTCTGCCATGTTAAGGAAAAACGCCTAATTAACTTCAATTACGATTCAAGTGTATGATTAAAACGATAAAAGTATTTTCCAAATACATGAGAAGCAAAAGCACCTTTGACTTTATTTTCGGAATTATAATGTCATATAATAAATCTATACATTATAAAAAATATTCTAAAAAGTGCCCTATTTACTAGTACCGTATGATCGAAAAAAAATGGCGCCGGGAGGCACGTATAGCCGCCCATATTTAATAAAAAGTTGGTTGGCAATTCTTTTAGTTTCAAAGTAAAGAAATTTTTCCAATTTTTTTTATCTCAAAAACTGCGACTTTGACTGATTTTGATCGACCAACATTTTTATTGGTAGTCCCACCCTGATGAAGATGTTAATAAAAATAAATATATATTATATATATATATATATATATATATATATATATATATATATATATATATATATATATACACTTATATATATATATATATATATATATATATATATATATATATATATATATATATATATATATATATATATATATATATATATATATATATATATATATATATATATATATATATATATATATATATATATATATATATATATATATATATATATATATATATATATATATATAAAGTGTATATCCGTCGATCACATAGCCTACCCACCAAATTTGGTCGCTATCGGACGACATCAACTTCAGACGTTCCTTACGTCAAAACTAGCTGTCACAGTGACACGTCTCGTACACGGTCAAGTTGGCCTTGATCCAATCTATCGACATATGAAATTTCATTTAAATCGAACGATTTTTTGATTTGATTCATTGATGATGCTGTTTAGTAGTGCACGAAACGTCGACAAAATATCATAAAAAGATGGAGCTCTACATTCCGAGTTTCAGCTCCCTAGTTCAACATAGGCCCCGAATTACGACGCTCCAAAGACCAATCTCAATTTCATCATTGACTTGCCACTTTCTTTTCTCGCTAGCTCGTACGTCAATGCCGTGTCGTGTCAAGGCCCCGTCATGTCACGGCTCTCATTTTTACTCCCATTGCGCATAAAGAAGTTTCACTTCGATAAAAAAATCTTGGGTATTGGGGAAGTTCAAATGAAAATACGTATAAAATGACAGAGATCTTCATTTCGTAGCCATCGCTGACGCAGTTTTTGTTCAATCACATTGTATTAACAAACAGCAACTTAACTTATTCAGCGCGTCAGATAAGGGGTTTTTCGTTAACACGGCAGGTATTTATAAACGTTCTTTTATCAACATAAGTGGGTACTTACTCACTAAAATTAGTACAATATATACATACAGGGTGCGATTGAAATAGTGCATTAAAATTGATTTGAATTTCGATGAATACTCCATATACTAAAAAGTTTTACAGTGTGTCCCAATACCTAATACCCTTGCTAATACCTATACAGTGTGTCCCAATATTCCATGAACATAGAACTACTACGTATTTTTGGAATCAAAATATGTTCAGAGGACACACTTTACCTCGGACAAAAGTGCTTCGTTTGTCCGTTAGAGAGCATCAAACTTAAGTCGAACAAAAGGTAAGTAAAGCCGGGTCCATATATGTAGCACTCTATTGTATCAGGATCATATATCACGTATCAAGAGTATGGGTCGTAAGTATGGACGTTTATTTGGGCTGTGACGACTGAATATGCATATCGTGCCTAAGTAAGCGTCCATACTTATAAAATTCATACGTATCAGCTTACAAGCGTGCGTATCAGTGTATGTGGACGGTACAACAAATCATCTTGTATCGTCGTATCATGTTCATCAATTCTCATTTATATTATCAGGACGGAACCCTCGATGCCCCTTTGATGATCGGAGAAAAACCGCCCCAAGACGGGTCACGGCGTATCAAGTCAATTGTATCGTTCTACTGTATCAAAACACGTCCAAATGACAGATCGTGATACGTGTATCCGATACGCAGTGTTAAGATACGCGCAAAAATTCGGATTGGCATCGATCAGATACGGTATCACAAAGGTGTACCATATGATCGCGTTAATTCTGCGTCCAAACTAGCGATCATCATACATGTTGGGGCAACGCGACGGAGATATGATACAGCAATTTGCTACATATGTGGATCCGGCCTAAGGTAAGGTAAAAAGTAAGTAAGGTTAAAGGTAAGTAACAAAATAAGTACATATTTTGAAATATCTTAAGACTCGTTATTCTGATCTGAATGATAAATTGAGTGTCTATGTTCTGCTGAGTGCGTTAACATTTGACTTTCATAAAAATCAAGAAAAAGTACGGAAAGGGTGAAAACTACCCCTACTTAAATTTTTGTATAAATATTTCTCCACCAACGATCAATTTTTTTTTTCGTAAAATGTTCCTTCTAGTATTTACTACATTTTTTGTCTCTTGTAAAAAATCGCGAAGTTTCAATATTCGGTGGACATAAAAGAACTAAGTATTTTTTCAATCAAAATAAGTTAATTGCACGCAATTTACCTCTATACAAAAGTACTTCGTTTCTCCCGTTAGAGGGCATCAATCCAAAACATACCTGAATGTTAATTAAATTAAAATTTATTTCGTTTTTTAAGCTTTTTATGAAGCTCATTGTCAAATATAATTAGTGATACTAACCATATACTAACATAAAATTCCATATCATATTTTCGCTAGCTTGATATGACAAGAAACATTTTTTGAAAGTCAGCTTCAGAATTTTTTTTTTCATCAAAAAGTTTGCGCGTGCGTTTTTTACAAGATACAAAAAATGTAGTAGATATTAGAAGGACCATTTTACGAAAAAGAATCGGTATTGTATTTGTATTGTATTTTACTAACTCCACTGCGGCCGCGAGGGCCTATTGTGGCTCAGTTTCTACAAGTTCTTTAATAGAAAAAGAGCATTAAAGTTCACCCTCAAGACCCAGCCTTTTAACATAGGCCGTTATGTCCGAGGGTGATATTTGCCAAACACCTCAAACCTGGTACACATAACGTGCTTCATTGTTTCGTCATCTTCCATACAGAGTCGGCATTCGGCGTCTTCCACCAGTCCCATCCTCTGTAGGTGTGATCTCAGCCGGCAGTGGCCCGTGTATAGTGCCGTAAGCAGACGCGCTCCGTTCCTACCAGCCTTTAGGAGTTCATCTGTTCTACGTTTGGATGGCCCTGCTAGGATTGTCTTGGCATGTTCCATTCCGGGACTGTCATACCAATCCCGAAACGTCGCACCCCTAACCCATTCACAGAGCCTGTCTTTTGCGAGATTTTTTGGTACGCTAAGTGTCGGTTCTGGGCTCACGAATGGCGAGCCTGCACCAGTTTTGGCGAGGGAATCAGCACGTTCATTTCCCTCTAGGCCGACATGTCCCGGTATCCATATCAGCGACACTTTGTTTCAATCTTCTAATATATTGAGTAGTTTCTTACAATGAAGAATCGTCCTGGACGTGCTTTTCGTTGCCTCAAGTGCTTTCAACGCAGTTTGACTATCCGAAAATATGCTTATTGTTTTCCCGGTGTATTGCTGTTCTACCAGCAGTGGCACACAGGTTTCAATCGCATATAGCTCAGCTTGGAAAATTGTGGTGTGTTTTCCAAGACTGTGGTAGATCTCAGCCTTTGGACTGCTGCAGTAAATTCCTGCGCCAGATCCTTTATCGTTTTTGGATCTGTCCGTGTACCAACACATTTCCGCAAGTAATAAGCCGTTTCTCGGCTTATCCCATTCGTCCCTATTCCGAAACGGGACGTTGTAGGTGCGCGTCAAGAGTTGGATTGGTGCTGTGAAATCCGAGACCATTCCCAGAATCTCATCCGATTGTAGTTCGTATACTAGTCGATTTTGTATGAACATGATTGTTCATTGGCCTTGAAAAAGAATCAGTGGTCGGTAGAGTTGGAAAATATTTATAATAAAATTTTATTTTAGGGTGGGGGTAGTTTTAAACACTCCCGTACATTTCCTTGATTTCTGTGAAAGCCCTACATTCTCATTTAAATCGGAATAACGGTTCTTAAAATGAGTATATTTTTTTAAAGTTTGATTCCCTGTAACGGACAAACAAAGCACCTTTGTATAGAGGTAAATTGTGTCCAATGGACTTATGTTGATTCCAAAAATACGTAGTAGTTATATGTCCACGGAATATTGGGAGATCCTGTATACAGGTGACAAAATTCATACATTAATGGAGCATTAGAAAGGTAAATTTAAAGAAAAATTTCAAGTTTAAAGTTCAAAAATAACATTAAAACTAAAAAAAATTTTAAGATTGGCATACCATTCTAAGTGAATTGATATACATATCATAAAAGTTTTTTATCATATTTTTTTCAGTTAAAGTTAAAGGGCCACATAACCCTTCAAATTTATATACCCCACTTCAGTGACATCCTTTATATTAGTTTTCATTTCTTAAAACCTAAGGATTATTTAAGTTAGAGCTATGTTAGAGCACACACTGTATAAACAGTTTAAAATCAACAATTTCACCTGCAAGGTATTGTTAGCTGCAGCTTCCATTTTCTCACTGTTATCAATTTCTTCTAACAAATTCACTAATTTCTTTTCACTATCTAGCAAATCATTTCTCATTTGAAGCAAGTGAGTTTTTTCATCTATGTCAAATATCTTGATGGCAAATCAAAAATTATTATAGGTGAATCATAAATATTAAAACAAAGACAAGTAACATTTAAAATATTAGGTACCCAAATATGACCTAAACATACATGTAAACAATTACCTGTTCGTCAGAATTTCTTATGCTGGTCATGAGTGAGCTTGTGACTTCTAAATATTCCCTAATTTGGCTAAGTTTATCTTCAATTTGTTTTCTATCTGGATACTTTGTTACATTATCACACTTTAATGTTGAACCTACAGAATCCCTCCTTGAATTTGACGAACTGGTTACAGGTGTAATGCCGTTGACTAAATAAAATAAATGTTAGAATTGGGTTACTAAAAGCTGTATATAAATTAACCTGAATAAGCAGCTAAACCGTTAGGTAATTCAGATCCATCTAAAGCAACATCCATACTTAAGTACTTATTTCTTTGATTTCTACGTTTATTTTGTAAAATATTGGACGAATCTACATATGTGTGCCATAAGGGAGACTGCAAGAAAGAGCTATTTACTCGAACAACCTATTTAAGTTCTATTAATAATTTATATTATTTTTAGAACACCTTCAATAACATTGAGCCCAATAAATGTTAGATGTAAATATAAATAGGTTACTAATTCAAGTAGTCTTACTAAATTATTAGACATTCTTGGGCCTTTTGACTGCTCCTGTGAGGTATGAATAGCTGCAGCATTATTAGAATATTTTATTTTTGGAACTGTTCCCGTATTTGGTCTATTTTTATGTCCAGTACCATCGGCCATTTTTTTAACATAAACACTTTTGAGTTTTTAGAGGCCTGTTTGTTGAATTCAATAAATTATAATTTTTCGGCTATAAATTAAATAATAAATACAACACTTTACAGGCTGAATGCGAAAAAGTATGCAATAAACAAAAGGTTGTCAAAAACAATTTTATTCTCTAGTGACACCAGAAGTGACACTAATAAAATTCCACAAATTCCTAGCCTATTATTTCTAATTTATTTCTTAAAATGGTATAATTCTGGCAACACTGGCCAGAATCTTAATCTAAGGCCAATAGTAGAAAAAAATACTTTCTCTCAGGGATGTGCCCTTCATCAATCTTTTTAAGTTTTCGAGAGAAATACACATAAAAAACCATAGAGAATCTTAAAACTCTTGTTTATATTTAAAACATATAAGGAAAACAATTAATTTGAATTCCTGTCCCATGTTTCTAATATACTTTTCTTATTCATTTTGGGAATTTTGAATCTGTCTTTTGAGCAGGGTTCGGAAAACTACATGTTACTTTTAAAAACTACATAAACTACATTAGATGTAGTTAATGTAGTTTATGTAGAGGGTGTAGTTTATGTAACCTATGTATCATCTATGTATTATGGAGTGTAGAGGTAAGGAGAAACAACTCCGTGCATTAAAAAATGGTCAAAAAAAGGGAAGAATTGGGATGGCGCTTCTGTAGCAAAAACCAAGAGAAAGAGGTAACAAATGCTCTATTTTATAATGCGCGAAGGCTGCCTGTTTTTCCGATCTGGGTTCCTTTGGTGGGGGTCACGCCAGGAGCGGATTTAGAAATTTTTAAGTGAATAATGATATACATCTAATATATAAAATTCTCGTGTCACAGTTTTTATTACCTTACAGATTTTTATTCAGCAACAATAGACTAGGCTCTTTTTTTTATTGCTCTCATAAGTTATTTCATAAATGTCATTCAAGACGACGAAAACATTATTCTGATAGTTTTTAGCTTAAAATTAATGTTAATTATATTTAAGAAAAAAATTATTTAAAGTAATAATTGGTGATGGGTTTAAAATAAATATAATGCAGCTTTAAAATAACTTCACACCTACATTTATTTAGTAGTATAAAAGTAAGTCAACATGTGGTTTTATTATCGATATTCAGAAGCAATAGACTGAGCCTCTTTTTTATTGTTTCTCATAAGTTATTTCGTAAATCTCATTCAAGATGAAAAAGCTTTAGTTTAAAATTAATGTTAATTATAATTAGGAAAACTTTATTAAAAGTTTAATTGATGATATGGGATTTATAGATAAATATAATGCAGGTCAAAAATAACGTAACACATTTTATTTAGTATAAAAATTAAGCTAATATAATATAATTTTATACTGTACAAGTATTTATTTACGTTTTGCCATCGTAGTTGCCATTCATTTAGAATAGTGGATTTTAAATGTTCGATAAGATGGCTTAACTACCTTAATATCAACTACTTCTAGACAAGAATTGTGTGCTGTATTATCTTCTTTTTCACTCCCAGCTATTCCAACATGGCTTGCATGGCTTGGGACGTGAAATAACTCATGTCTTTCTTGTAGTTCACCCAATAGAATCGTCTCGCAGCTTCCTTCCAAGTTGGTAGTTGCTATTCATTCAGAATAGTGGATTTTAAATATATTTGGTAGTCGGATGGTTTAACTATCATAACTATAACTACTTTTAATAATTCTTTTTCTCAATTCTTTGCACTATAATTTGCATCCCACGTATTGTAATATTTTCCTTTGAATTTCGTTTCCTATTGTTCCATGGCTTGAGACGTAATGTTATAGCCCTTCCAGATCCTCATGTATATGTCCCTTTTTCTTGTAGTCCACCCAATAGAACCTTTCTCTTAGCTTCCTCTCAAGTTGGTTCATTAAGAATAGTGGATTTTAAATATGTTTTGTATTCGGATGGTTTAACTACTGTAACATCATAAATAAATTGTATACCAACACATAATGGCCAAACTTCAACAGACTTTAATATTCATAAGCCTCATCAGAAGAAAATATTTTTTGATCCAAAGTTTCTTTTTCATTATTAGAATAAATTACCTGCAATTTGTTAATTCATTACAACATTGAATAAAAGATGCAAAGTGTTTATACATACTATAATAGATAAATCTTCATTTTAAATTATGTGATAGATCTGCTTGCTTGTAGGATCTAGACTCATAAACTCAATAATTTCTTTTATTGATATAACCAATAAAGTGGTAATGATGAAATTTTGTTTTTGATTTGAGCAGTAGGGTCCATTATTTCCATTATTTGATGCTGTTATTGCTCTACAAAATGTTGATCTTTATCAAGGGATGTTTATGTGTATAATATTATTATTTATGTGTATAATAATACTGTATGATCGAAAAAACACGGCGTCCAGTGGGCTTGGAAATGAACATCTCGATGACATTCTCCATATCATTTTACATATAAAATGACAGCAATCTTCATTTCATAGGCATCGCTGACGCCGTTTTTTATTCGATCGATCAAATTGTACTTACGTGTGTAATATTCATTTAATGGTTCCTGTTTTAGTTGCTGGTGTTCATATTTTGGTTTTTTATTGTGTTGTTGCTCTACAAAATGTTAATATTTATGTGTATAACATTACTCTTTCTTTTGTATAATAATACTTATGTGTATAATATTCATTTAATGGTGCCCTTCTTGCTTGTTGCTGTTGTTGCAACTCTTAAAAATTTAAATTAACCTGAGGCAGTAGGTAGAGCTTCATCCTCAACATTTTCCTATGTAAATACTGCAAGTGGACAGTATTTCTGATGACAATTTTATTCATAAACTTTAACATCTTGTTCTTTAAAAACGAAACTGCCATACCTTATCTGTAGATTTCAAAGCAATATCTAAATGCTTTTGACCATCGCTGTAATCTAATTCTTGTTTGAAAATCAATACCTAATATTATCCTGATGATTTTGATTTTTTGACAGATTATTAAAATACAGCACTTACAGTTAACGATATTTCTTGAAAGTACCTACAACTTTATTTATTTCCTACTTTTATTTGTTTAAAAAAATGCCAACAATTTGTGCATGTCTGTCAAACTTTAAAATCATTAAAAATAAATTTTATTCAGGTTGTAACTTTATAGAAAGGATTGTAAAAATATACTTTGTAACATGTATGTCAATAATCTTACGAAAAATGTTTACTACACTTTTGATTGACTCTAAATTTTTACATATATTACAAATAATACAATACTGAATTATATTATGTATTTTACAGGCTTTGCCTTTGCTCTTTATTTTTTCCATCAGCCATTCAATCAACTTCGCACCACACACTTTAACCATTGTTATATAATAAATAAAGCACAAAATATTGATAAACAATAATTATTTTTATATTCTAAAAAATAAAAAACTTTTTGGGTAATGTTTGGTTATATTTATTTTTTATTCTCTTATCTATGGTTACTTTTCATTTTTTTTTAGATTTATGCGTTTTTTAGCGCCACTAATCATTTAGCGGACCCTGTCATTCTTCCCATTTTGTGACCCCACTTTTTCATTAAAAGTACCATAGCGCAGGGTTCGGAAAACTACATGTTACTTTTAAAAACTACATAAACTCATTACATGTAGTTAATATAGTTTATTTTTAGGGTGTAATCAATGTAAACCCTATGTATGCTTAAATTTTATAATGTCAAGCCCCATTGAGATGAGGATATATTAACCAAGTTGAAGCTTTTAAAACACATAATGTATTTAAGAAACAGGAGAGTAAATGGCTTTAAATATAACTATTTACATCTATATTATCTATTAAACCTCATACAAAGGATGAATTATTCCTTAATATCAATACATAGTTTATTAACCTGCGAAGAAATCTCATGTAGCTAATGAACTGAGGGAAAGGGTCTTAGTTTTACAATACGAAAATCTACACGTAGTTAATCAGGTAAATTACGATGTACGCGCTACTGCCATTTCGAACCCTACATAAAAGTTATTTCTCCCTTGCCTCTACACTCCATACTATGTATGTAACTTTTCAAAGGTGAAACCTAATTAAAGTGTTTTATGACAATATTATAAGCTTTTACAGAATAAAAATGTACTAGTTAGGAAAAAAGCTTGTTAAATTATTTCCATATTTGTGTTTAGTTATTTGCCTCTGTAAAAATGTGCAGATCAAGGACCTATTTGTGCTAAAGTTTCCAAATGGTTCTCAGAACTTAGCTGTCGCCAGCGACACGTCAAGATGGACCAATGAGATTTGTACAAAATTCAAACAGCTGTCAATTTTAAAATTTAGTACAGCTCCCATTGGTTGTTTGAAATGTCAAACTGTGTCGCCCGCGACACGACGTAGTTCTGAGAGTAGGGCTTAAGTAATGATCCGGTGGCTGACCTTGAAGCCCATATTTGCTGCATTTGATCATCAATACTCACGCAAGCTTACATCGTCGATGTTGCCAAATTGCAGTTTATTTTCAATTATTTGCAGTTAAAATTTTTTTTTTTTAGTGTTAATCAATAATAAATACAAATTCTATAGGTAATTTTATAATTTCAGATTAATCTTGATATCCAAAAATTAAGGTAAGAAGAATATAGATTGAATTAAAGGGATAATGAAGATTGTGAAATGAAAAAATTATCAGAAGATTAATTGTAATAATGATAACATTTATTATATCAAAAGAATATTATAGTTTTAAGAGTGGAAAGCTTTAGTGATTTGTCACACGGTGGCACGCTTTTGGAACATAATCAAGCCTGAAAATGCTAATATTTTAAATTTTGAGGACTACGCGCGGCGATATTTCGTACGGTGTTGCCAAAACATATTTTATTTCTCGATATTTAAAGAAATATGTATTGATTATATATTTCGTATTCGTTAGTACATGAGGCATCCTAAGGCTATAAAAACGTAGCTATGAAAATAAAATTTTAGATTTTTAATTTTTTTGTACCTTCTAATAAAAAATACTTCTATTGTAATATGTTATGGTCTTGAAATAAAACTATACTAGTTAGTAGTATTCCGTGTTACCAAATAACAATAAAAGGGAGTTACAACAATTAGAAAATGTGCAGATCAGGGCCATGTAAGTGAAATATTAAAAATGGTTCCAGCAAAAGTTTCCCAATTATGACGGATGATGGCGTTGATCGT